CATGACCCTTGGAACGGACAAGCACCTTCGCGTTCTTCGATGGTCCCTCGATCCGGTCATGTCGTTTTCGACCCTGCGAGCGACCATATCAATTATTCAGATTACTTGATCGATGTAGACTCATGGGCAGCTCAATACACGGATCCTTCCTCCTTGATCTCGCCCAGCGAGCCTACTACATCGTTCCAAGGGGATCTGTACTTCCCGCAAGGGCAGAACCATCCTCATCACTCATACGACCATGTACCACGGACGCAACTACCGACTCATCAATCGATTGAGATGCAACTAACGCGGGCATCACCACCACCTAACCAGCAGTCTGAGAAGGCCTATGCCAACCAGTCTACGCCAGGAGAGCCCAAATTGTACAAGACTGCATATGGCGATACCGCTGAGCGGGAATTTTTCATCCCTGGCTTCCTCGACTTAGAGCACCCGGTGGATGCTATGGGTGATACTGGTGCGAATCGCAATACGATGGACGTATCGTTCGTTCGAAAGCGCGGATATAATATTGATTGTAAGGCTGCATCCATCGTGCGGGTTGGTCAAGGGAGAGTCAAGACAGTTGGTGTCGTACACGTGCCTTTTCGCTTTCGAGGCGAGACGACCTCGTATCTACTGACGTTTCATGTTCTCCCGAAATGTCCCCAGGACGTCATTCTGGGCTCTACCTTCTTGAGGCTTACCAAAACCTTCTCGAACGCTGCAAAATTCGCTCGTCGAGTGTTCGATAGGTTCGTACTGCGCACATCACGCCACTATAACATGCTCTACCTTGGTGGTGGTGGACCAACGTTCACAGGCACTATCGGAGGACGACCACATGAGGCACTGGCAGACACTGGGTCTAAGGTGCTCATCATGGATGAAGACTTTGCGCGCTCGCGTGGGCTCCCTATTGTCGACGCAGAGGAACATCGCATCAAGTTACGTTTTGCAGACGGTTCCACAGCTCGTACATCAGGCATGACACAGGGAGTGACATGGCAGTTCGGGTTGGCACACGAGGGAAAGAGCTTTCTGCTAGATTTCTACATACTCAAGGATGCGCCATCGAACGTTATTCTTAGTGAGAACTTCTTACTGAGAGAAAGCCAGGCCTTCACTGAATACAGCGATTACTTACTCGATGACTACGAGCAAGAAGAAGACGAAGAAGAGGGTCACGTCTTCGTTATCAGGAAGGAGACTAGCCTGCAATATAAAGGCCAGTACAACGGAGCTGACCAACTTTGCAATGATATTGCATGGGACCAGGAAATGGATCTGCGCCGGAATGAAGACTACCGCATAAGTGTCATTTATGACACCGCTGCAAGAGGAGCTGCCGAAGCTGCCGAAAGGCTGCGTCGTAGACAATGGGAAAACGTACATATCATCACTCAGACTGTTCAGGCAGAATATGCTGGCACGACAAGTCAGGACCCTCCAGGTGCATCTGGCGTACAGCCCAGTGGTGGGGGTGGGGTTCAGCCTCAAGCGACTGCGCAGCAGAACAGCAGCGGTGCGAATCAAACTCCGTCCAGACCAGACGCACTGGCGGGCTCCAGCAACACGATACCGCCTTCTTCTCGCCGCGACAAGTTTCTTAAACGCTTTGGTCGCAAACGAAAGCAAATCACGTAAAATCGCCACGAAGGCTGCTCTGTTCCTTGAACAGGTATCGCCATGATTGCGATACGCCATTTATCCTCATCTGGTATCCCCACTGCGCAAGTTTTCTTCGTTGTTACTCTATCGTTGTTGGGTTGGAGAAAAGGGAGAGTTCTGTCCATGTGAAGGAGCGTTTGGCAGTGTTTCACTTGACATACCAGTCGCAATAATTACATGTTCCAGTTATCTGAGAGTTGTAAAACAACCTATGCAAGAGTTTTGTTCATTGAACCTAAGCAAGATACCGCTCACTGAACATGCTTTCCTCACTGAGAAAACATACTCTTAATCTCCGCATCTTCCTCCTCCATCTCAGCCAATTTCTTCCCCGGTAGCCGCACTGCTCGATCAAGCGCCACAGGCAAACCTCTGTGTCTTCCTCTCAGCATAACCAAAATCATGATGATCTTACTTCCCGTGTACATCCCGCCACTGAAACTGTATGATTGATCCGGCAACCCGATACTAATTCCAATAGTCGTGTATCCACTCACAATCTCAAATAGAATAGTGAACACGCTGTATGTGCGCGGGTCTTCGATGGAATGATGTGTCTCGATGAGTGTGATCAGGAAGAGTGCAAGAGCTATCCACCATACGTCATGCGAAAGTTGGCCTCGAACCTGCTGGCTGATGAGGGAGGGGGGTCTGGTTCCTGGATGCGAAGAAAGCGAGTGGATGGATGTTGCGCGGTTGAAGTCCATGGTTTCTGATCGTTTCAAAGTGGCAGGCGCTGCGGACGGCACAGGCGCGACACCGACACCCTGGAAAGCTGTCATGCGATGCTGGAGTTGGCGACCTACAAAGGCGGTGCCGCGACGGCCGACTTGACCGAGAGACTTGATAGGCGCGAGGCGTGTTTTTTCTGGTTCTGCCTCAGCAGTAGGCAACGGTGATATCGCAGCGTCAACGTCGAAGAGCGAGCTAGACGCCGAGTGAAGCTGTTCTGGCTCAGCCTCGTCGCCCTCGTAAATTCCAAGAGATCTTTCCTCATATACGTTGGTCTTGCGCATGGTAATGATGTGTGGGTACGCCGCGGTGTAGAAGACAACAAGCCACAGAACCTGTACGTCAAAATACATGGCCGATGGCGAGACGATAGCGTAACCTCCAGTTGGGATCGAAAAACCTTCGAAGAGGGAGATGAAGACACGTTGGCCGATAGGTATGACTTCCATAGTCGGGTTTCCAATGCTGAGAACGAGGATGAGGACCCAGTCTACCACTACAAACGAGGTGAAGGTTGCGATAAATAGCCAGGTATCGCGCGAAGGGAACATGCTGGTATACACGCGACGCGGGAACTTGAGGATAAAGTCGAAGCCTTCTTTCCACACGCCGTACTCCTTGTCTTTGGAGAAGAGATCGAGAAGTGTGGACATGCTCCAGATTAAGAAGCGCACAACGACGGGGAAGGAGGCAGGTCCTGCGAGCGACAGTATGGTAACAATGACGAGGACGTAATACGAGGACTGGAAGGGTATGAATCCTGCATCCAGCAGCGTAAAGCCAGCATTGCTGTACGCAGAGATGGCGAGGAAGATGCCAGCCCACCAAGGGTTCTGCGCATTGACAGCGCAAGCCTCCCTCTCGTAAACGGACATGTACGCCCCTAATGCGATACCTCCGAACAGCTGCCAGAGTATAAAGTAGGCGGGAACGAACATGGAGAGGAACTTCAGCGCGCGGTATTCTACACCACCCAGGTACTCACGCTGGTCTGACGAAAGGTTGAAGAACTGCCCATTCCGACCAATGTTGCGCTTTTGCTCCTTGACAAAAGTCTGCACGTTGAAGCTGTCGTCTAGCTTGGACTCTTCGGCTAATGAGCGGCGACGTTTCGATATGCTCTGCTGGCTGTGCACGTTGTAGATCGAATGTCCTGTCGCCGCTGACATGGGCCTTTCGTTAGACATACGCTCTTGGATAGGATCCAGAAAACCGATATGCTGTGGTGGACTTCTTTCTCTTGAAAGGACCGAAATCGGTGACATCCCCGTCTGAGCCTGGTCTTCCATAATCGGTGTGCTGGGCGGCATATCATCTGTGCGTCTCTCTGCAGGCGTCACAACCTTCGTCAATCCCTTTATCTTACTCGCCGCTTTGCCCTTTCCAAACGACCCCATAACCGGCAACCCAAACATCGCCCCAGTCATGCCGACCACAGCCCCAACATCTCCCTTCCGGGCGTTCCGCCTCTCTTTCTCCGCCTCAACAATATCTTCGAACCTCTTCTCAAAGATATGTTTCCTGAATGCAACCGTAAAGTAGCTGACCAGTACCTGACTTCCCATCATCATCAACACCGCCAGTTCCACTTGTTGGAATGTCGTGAGCTGACTGACGTTCACGGAATTGAGTCCGGAAGCGGTCATCGCGCTCATGCACATGAACATGCAATCCCACCATCCAATGCTCTTCGATGGGTTCGACGCGCCCCAGAAAATCAGAGTACCCACGAGGGTTACGCCGATGAAGTATGCATAGTGGATCGTAATGAAGTTTACTGGCGGAGCGTAGGGCTTCACTGCCTCAACAATCGTGCGAATCTTAGGGTGATTCTCTTCGAAAGTCTCCCACCGGTCTTTAATTTTATCCATTGTTGTTTGGTTGTAGCTGATAGCTGCAAAGTAAGGTTGGGTTATCGAGGTAGCATGTCGCGTGTGTTGTTGGGAAACTGAGGTTGATTGCTCGCAAGGGTCGCGCTATAAATAGTCGCAAGATGTGAATAAATGTTCGAACAAGAAGAGTCGTTTGAGCAATGCGCAATTCGCAATAGGGACTTAAAGAGAGGATCAAAGTTTGTTGAAGCGGTATTGAGAGTTGGGGAAAGGAGCGTGGATTGACGTTTGTGGCTGAGGCGGGTGTGTTGGCGAAGACGTAGGCTCAATAAAGGGATAAACAGGGTCTGGGGTGGCGCGGACGATGTCCGGGCCCGCCGCGACGCGATAGGAAGGGAAGGGCCGAGCCAGCACACTTGAAACACCGCGATAACGTCGACCTGCATCGTTCTCGATTACCATACCGCCTCTTCTGACTTTTGCCATGTTCGTCCATTTTCTATACTTGCCCATCTCCTTTAGGCCTGCACGTGGTTCACTCGATGAAACGGATCGATCTTGCCTTTGGCCTATTTTCATGGTCGGGCTTATGAGCTTTGCGCTGGGTTTCAAACCAGGATGATCCGTCTCCACTTGCACAGGCACAGACGTTGTAAGTAATTGCCTATACGTACTGGATGGTGGAGATGGAGGACCAATCCGAGCCTGTGATCGATGTAGGCGCCTTTGATTCGAAGAGCAGCTACGGAGATACCAAGACCAGAGCACGAGCCTTGGAGTTCTTAGTCAGTACCCTCGTATCGCAATTGATAGATTTGGAGCGACGTATGAGAAGGTAGAGGTAGATCATGGTTTCCTTCGATGTACCAAGAAGCAGGTAGGCGTTTAATCCCAACACCAAGTTCATTGGTCGCATTTTCACCTGCCACTGGAAACCTCACTTTCCTTCGTTCTGGTCATTTGGTTTCCATTGACGACCATGTTCCGCCTTCCGCAATTACATCAGTATTCGAATCATGACTGCCGATTTTCTCGACTTAACTTACCTTGCCTGGTTCTGGTACCACGCTTCGAGATTTTCGACTTTCTCATGGTTGGTACCACAATCCAGTTCTCCCACTTTTTAGTATAAGAAATCTGTCAGCTACTTTCTTTCTTTCTTTATCAGAATCAACATCAAAGATCTCATATACATCCATCTCTCTACAAAGGTAGCTCGGCTGTCGTTACGCTCGTTAATACAAGCAAAATACCCTTTGACCCCTCTACCATTTATCGCCTCTATACCCAGCTCCCAAACCACGAAGTCGGATAGTGGAGATGCCTTCAAACGTTTTCCAACAACTACATACCCGCCCGCTACAATCCTTCAAGATCGTTGAAGATCTGACCACGGCGCTGCACCGAGAGATTCTACGAATATACGGGAACTGCATGATCATGTGGGGCGACACAATATGCGAGGACGAAGCCATAGCTTTAAGCATGACAGAAATAGACGATGCCGTCACGGAGTACGAGACAAATGTATCATACCATGCGTGCGGACAACGAAGAATCAAGATTTGGGCTGGTACTGGCGACAGAGTCAAGCAGGCTGCGCTGTGGAGCAAAGTCAAGGACAAGGCACCGCACCCAAGACACCCTCGCGCACAATACGGGAGTGTCATGGCTCAATTTCATGAGAAGGTGCTTTGGTGCGACAAGTGTTCTGTCGCAGAATTGAGGACTGGCGACGTTCTGTTCAATGCAGTGGCGTCACCTGGTTCTTTGGCAGGAGAGCTCGGTGCATTGAATCTCAATGAAGATGATAGAAAGCGAGTCGAGAGCTGGCGCAGAGGAGAGAGCTTGGGGAAGTTAAAGCCATTATGTCCCCACCTTCAGCCACCCCTCCATTCGGCAAAGGAGAATTATAGAAGCAGCACCAGGACAACTGTGGGGAGCAATGAGCTTACACAAGGTTTGGAATCGGTCGGTCGATACTATATTGATGGTGGAGTGCTGCTGCGCAACGAACATGGTTGTTATCAGGATTTGGATGGGATTTGTTGTTGTCCGTGTCCGCGTGTGGTACATTTGTAAGCGTGGAAACTGAAGCTCAAACACTAGAAGGTATTGGGTTGTCATCATCTGATGCAGCTAAGTAGTATTATACCATATCTTCTCTGCCCACGCTTGACCACACATCCGCTATGTCAGCTTGAACAGTTTCCCGCCTACCCCATCCCACTCTTCATCCCACCGATGGTCGCTCTCCTTGAGCGCACCCTCTCTCAGAGTCTCCCTTAGTCTTGTGTCGCTACCGAAGAATGTAGCCAGATGTAGAGCGAGCTCTTCATAGCTCTGAAAGCCTAGTCCATTCACACCCTGCTTGACGAGCTCAGGCCAGGCCTCGAACTTTCCCCACCCTACGACGGGTAAGCCTGCGCCAAACATGTCGACTACTTTCATTGGCAAGTCTACGCCAGAAGACGATGTGTGTAGAGAAATCCCCAGATCAGCCGATGCAAGGAGTAGAGCGTAGTCAGAGTGCGAGAGCCATGCTGTCTTGATGACGACATTCAACAGCTTCTTCTGCTGGTTGAGTTGACGGATTTTGGAAAGATAATACTCCTTCTGTGGCCCTTTTCCGGTGATGATGGCGATAATCTTTGGAAGGTAGGTCTTCGATGTACACTCAGCGGAATAGGCAACCAGAGCAGAAAGGAGAAGCGAAAAGTCTTCATCGGCAGTCCACGATGTTGCGCTGACGATGAGTTTCCAGGGTGTTTTCGAGGCTGGAGAAAGATCTGCGGCGTACTCTGCCGTTTCCGGTAGTCTGGCGAGGAACTCCTTGCGCTGTTGAGATTCGATGGGTTGGAAGATGGAGGCTGGGCGATCGTGGAGTGCTTCTGCTGTAACACCATAGTCGGCTTTTAGCACACGGGCCATAGCGTTAGTCACCGTGATGTGATGCGATGCAGCCTTTGCGAAGATCTTCTCGTACTTCTCAGATACCTTGACGAGAGGGTGACTGTCGCCAAGTTTCATGGCCAAGATGGTGTACCCGAAGTTGTGCCAGTCAATGACCAGGTCAGTACGTCGTAAGAAGCACACCAGGCTGGCTATAGCAAGCGTTGGTATTGAAGGTGGGTTTTGCACGAGTGTCCATCTTGCGGGTTTGGAGCGGTAGCCTAGCGCGCGGTACAACGACCAGATTTGCCAAAGGACCTTGAGAGGCGCCAGAATGGGAAACAGAAGCTTGCTGCTCGAACGCAGGAAACTTGGTGCTGGTGCGAGTGGGATAATCTCAATCAACGGGTTTGAGACGATATCTGGAAGGATGTCCGACTCTTGACTAGTTTAGCATCTTGCAATAATCCAATAGAGACTTTCCTGACCTTGATAGCCGATGAGAAACACCTTTCCGCCGTGCTTAGCAATACTGAGAGCATGGTATTGCATACGCGGCGACCGCCCAATGTCTCCCAGCACCACTACCTGTACCGAGCGTCCCTGCTTCCAGTTTACAGGGTCTTTCCCATCTTTTGTCTTCATCTTGATCTCTTTTCCATCCTCGCCCACGAACCTAAGCGGCTTGTCCTTGTATGGATCATACTGACTGGGCAGAGTCAACAGAAGAGCCGTGAAGAGCGTCGACAACGTGACAACGACACCCAGTATGACGGAAAAGAGGTTGCCGTCTTTGTCGGGTGAAGTATCGTTGTCGAACATTTTGGTGTTGTGTTAGTGCCGTCCAATTGCAAGGCTCCTCCGATAATCGTGGCCGCCGCCGCGTGCGTCAACGCCAAGGGTCAGCCACAAGATGCGGAGATCAGAACCGGGGTAGGACCGAAAGGGGAAGGCGCTCAATGACAGTCATGTCAATCTGTAAGACCCCTGAAACTTATTGATAGTGCAGCAACGCGCGCCGCTATCGAAACACCAAGACGCCAAAGCGCTGCGTAGCCTCATTGCAACGCACTTACACCACACGAGTTGCTATCCCACGTTGCTTTTTCTCCTACAACACCGCCACTTTTGTTCAATTGAGCACCGTTTCATCGCGAATCCGAGGGCCCCACTTCGCCGATAGCCCTCACCGAGTCAAGACCATCTCACAGCGGACCGACGAACGCGACGTTGGCAGATGGCGTCGACATATGCGCTGCCCGTCACCCCTACCACGCACACACACAGCCATGGCCGCTCATCATCACAATACACGCCCGAGGCATACGCAAACAACTCGATGAATACATCGTCGCCAGCCAAAGACCACGCCCACCGACACACCCGGTCCGACATGAATGGGAATGGGCAGTTGCATGGCGCTGTGCGCTCACCGTATGCCGAGTACAACAGCCCTGCGCGCGAACATGACCATGGCCATGAGAGATCGGGCTCCAACGATTCCACATACACACTGAAACCCTTCTTGAATGGAAGACCAAAAGGGCGACAAAGAGGGGAATCAGATCTGGGTCGCTCACCGGCGAGGAAGGCACCCGCAGCTGGAGGATATGCCTTTTCGCCAGTGTCACCTATACAAGAGTCTCCAGCGCATCTGCCCCCGCCTCCGGTTTCTTCGTAAGACATTCTTGACATGGTCGGATTGAGCGCTGCTAATACAACACCAGGTCGTGGCTAGAACTTCCTGAGGCCCTGACCGCGCTCCTAATACCTCTACCGTATATCTTCGCCTCGTTGGCATACCCTAGCGGCGTGGGACAGACATCGAAGCTGCCCTCGACTCTATCAGAAGCTGTGTCAGACCGCACACCCGAACTCGAACCTGCCACAGCAATAAGCGACTTTCCACTACTACATGCGCTCGCTCTCTCATCAGCGACCTTGTTGCTGGTTGGTGTGGCAGCCAAGGTCAACTCCAGCCTACAGCCACTCGACAGGCGGAAAGAAGACAAAGGCACATTCAACATCAGCAATGCGCCGAAACGCGTGGCAAGCAACATGGTCAGCGTATTACTGCCCTTCTACGCGTCCCTTCACCTAGGAGGAGCGAAGACGGCATTGGTCATATTGGTGGCAGTTGCCGCTGGACTTGGTGCCTTTGACCAGAGACCAGGGAAGCACACACCTTGGGACGATATTCGGCGGACATTGAGGACCAGAAAAGTGACATGCGGGGCTCTTTTCTTAAGCATGGCTGCAGATGTGGTGACCTCTGCTAACGTCACAGGTAGCCTGATCGGCTATATGGCGCTTCTGGTGTCGCTCCTTCTTGTCCCTCCGCCTCTACCCACAGCAGGCTGGTCATTGATGACCGGGCCACAGAGCCAGGACTCTTACATGACGCAAAAGCCGTCTCGCGCATCGCTGCCGAAGCCTTCATCAGCCTTGGTGAGTAACACCGAGAACCAGCTACTCACCATTGTGTCTGGTCTTGTCCTCACTGTTACGACTATTCTGTTTTCACTCGTTTCTTCTGCAACCCCCTCTTTGTCGCACCACAGCCTGGCATTCTCAACTCTATCAGTTGCATCTACGACGGCGCTTGTATTTCTATCATTACCAGCATCGTTACGGAGTCAAAAACAAGTCGGATTCAGATTGAGTGGCATTTTCATCTTCGCCTTGAGTTTCTTGGAACACAACGGAGTTGGTCATTTCAAGATTGTATTCCCTTGGGTTTGCGCTATGATGATTGGAGCGGTCGGCTTTGACACTCGTTCGCCTGTACCGCATTCGCACGACCATGGGCATGCGGGCCACAAACACTCGCATGGTCATGACCACGGGCATAGTCATGGCCATCATCTACATGGAAATCACTCCAGAATCTCAGCGTTCCTCATCGCCCGCACTACTCCGGGCTCCATTATACACAGTGTGTTGATCGAGCGGGACTCGCGACGCATTGCATACTTTGGTGTACTCAATCTTTCCTTCATGATGGTCCAGTTCTTCTACGGCTTCGTCAGTGGGTCATTGGGATTGCTTACGGATAGTATCCACATGCTCTTCGACTGCGCTGGTCTCGCTGTGGGACTAGTAGCAGCAGTGATGAGCAAGTGGCGCCCCAACGCTCGCTTTCCATATGGCTATGGCAAGGTCGATACACTGTCTGGTTTTGCAAATGGCGTTTTTCTTTTGTAAGTTACCAGCACACGTAGTTTCCCATATATATGCTAACCTGAACCAGGCTCGTCAGTGTAGAGATCATCTTCGATGCCTTCGAACGCCTCTGGGAAGGTCACGAGCTCCAGCGTCTAAACGAGCTTCTGATTGTCAGTATTCTTGGTTTCATCGTTAACATCGTCGGCCTTGTAGCCTTCGGCCACGCACATCACGGCCATGGTCATGACCACGGGCACGAAGGACACGATCATGGACATGGACATTCTCACGACAACGAAAACATGCAGGGTATCTTTCTGCATATCCTCGCCGACGCACTCGGCTCTGTTGCAGTCATCATTTCAACACTTCTTACAAAGTACTATGGTTGGTCTGGTTGGGACCCCATCGCATCCAGCATCATTGCAATCCTGATCTTCCTGTCGGCCATTCCGCTTGTCAAGTCGAGTGGCGCAAGACTTATGCTGAGTCTGCCAAACGATGTTGAGTACGGCATCAGAAATACTCTTGGAGAGTTGGGCACACTAAGAGGCGTGGTCGGATACGCAGTGCCCAAGTTCTGGCTTGAAGATGAGGGCGCTGCTCATGCGGAAGCACATGCTCACGAACATGCGAAAGATGACCATGACTGTGGAGGTGGACATAAGCATGATGACCATCCACACGATCACCACGAACATGACCACTCCCACTCCCACGATCATGGCCACGGCCACAGCCACGGTCACTCGCATAATCACTCTCACGACCACGGACATTCGCATTCACACTCCCATGACCATCACGACCACGATCACGATCACGATCATGCGCCTAAACAACGCCGCATTCTCGGCGCAATTCACATCATTGCTTCCCGCGCGGCAGATCTGGAAGACGTACGGGACCGTTCACATCAGTTCCTGAAGGATCGGAACATGGATCTAGTGATTCATGTGGAGAGGGAAGGCGAAGGCCGCTGTTGGTGTGGAGGTGGAGGTGAATACAAGATCAACTGATGTTCATGACGTGCGGCAGTGTGTCATTGAGTTGCTCTCTTGCGCATGCGTTGTACAGTCTTATACAGGAGGTGTATAGTATGAGACTTGGATACAGCTTGTATATCAATACATAGACATACATAATCGTAAAAATGCTCTACAATCGTTCATCGCCTACCAACGCCCCATGATTATACTACATCTACTATAGAAACACGCTTATCCTTTCTAGAATTTACTACAGGACGCATTAGGATTATCCAGCGTATCACAGTATCACAGCTCTGTAAGCGCATGCGAGGCTATGCGAGACGAGCTGCTTGTTACTGCCGAACGTGTTGAGTCTGACTGTATTCGCAGCACTTTCGGGCTTGACCATCAAAGATTACGGGATGGCGGATGAGGGCATTGAGTCGATATCCTCTGCAATTATTAAGCACATCTTGACTCCACAATGTACGTATCTCTAAGAGTACCCCGTAATTCAACGAGCGTTTTGCCTATCTGTCTGACATGAATAGACCTCTACAGTATTGGCATATCGATCTAGTTCAAGAAGAACTATATTGATCAAGTTGCCTTGATGTATGATAGTAACTGTTGAAGTACCACAGGCGCTTGGGTATCCTGGCCTTGGGAGTCGCTTAGTCACGAAAACAATCAGAAGCTGACAATGTGCAGCGCATTCTGGGATGTGACACCTATCACGACTCCCAGACTTGCGATCCTTTATCATGTATACGAGACCCGTTCGGCGTACCTACCATACCGATGTGCGAAGCTTATGCAATGTCCGTAGATATTGGTGCGGCGACGTCATGGATTCCTAAGCAATTCCACTTAGGAAGAGGTAGCTCTCCACATGCGCCTGCCCGCATTGTGCATATAACCCCTCCTTTGCGCGCAGGCTAGCCTTCTTCATGTCACTATTACGCTCCTCTCTATCCTCGCAGCTTAAGAACTTCACACGCCTCTCCACTCAGACGCGCATAATCCCTCGATCGCACTTCCACACCTCACGGCCGTTACTGCGCATACTTCCAGAAATGTCGGACCAAGAACCCACCGGATTGAAGGCGGACAAGGGCATTGAGCTGCTCACTTTTGGCACGCCCAATGGATGGAAAGCTAGCATTCTGCTAGAGGAGCTCAAGGATGCCTATGGCAAAGACTACACATGGCAGTCCATCAACATCAGCAAGAACACACAGAAAGAGCCTTGGTTCACCAAGCTCGGCCCCAATGGCCGAATTCCGTAAGCAACGATGCCTTCCGAATTATGCGTGAGGCTTGTACTGACATTGCGCTCCACTGCCTAGTGTAATTGTCGACCACGATCAGGGTGGCTTCGCCGTCCAGGAGGGTCTCGCAATTCTTGCATACCTGACGCGCCACTACGATCCCGAACACAAATTCAGCTTCTCCGACCCTCTCGATATCTCGCGCGCAGAGCAATGGATGGCCTGGCAACACGGTGGCCTGGGCCCGATGCAAGGCCAGGCCAACCACTTCAACCGTTTCGCAAAGGAGCGCATCGCCTATGGCATGCAGCGTTACACGGGCGAGACTGAACGTCTTGCCGGCGTGCTTGACACGGCTCTGGCCAAGTCCGACTACCTCGTAGGCAACAAGTTCAGCATTGCGGACATTGCCAGCTTTGGTTGGGTCCACATGCTTCGCATCTCTGGTGTAGACCTGGAGTCATTCCCCAACCTGAAGAAGTGGTGGGAGCGCATACTTGCACGGCCTGCAGTTCAGCGTGGCTTGGAGATTCCGAGCAAGAGTGGATTCGGAAACGACACCTACATACAGAAGATGAAGGACGACGCTGAGTTTGCGGAGAAGGAGCACAAGCTTGCGGAGCAGATCAAGGCTGCCAAGGAGCAATATGGCTACAAGTATTCCAGCCCTTGAGGACAAACACAAGTCTTCTGGTGAACGAGTGACTGTCTAGGAGCCGAACAGAATTCGCGGGCGATTAATGCCCCTCCAGAATAGGATAATGTTACTCTTCTCATACATATTTGTGCCATAGCGGAATGGTCTTGAAACAACAAAGACTCCAGGTGCCGAAACTGTCAACACATCACTCCAGTCCATAGGTCACTCATGATACGCTGTCTTGTGCGACAGCGAAGCTATCTCAGACTTCATGGTTGCGTTTCATGTCACCAGTTGATAGACAATTGTTAGCCAATCACGCTGTGGCGTACCCCTGCCGCCGATGTAACGCTACTCGGGCGCCAACGACGTCAGCGCCTCGAAACAGGGTCACCAGGTCTTCAACCACACGTTCACAGCGCGCGCTGAGAGCACGTCCAGGCGCCAACGCATGGCTGTAAAGGGTGTCTAGGGTAACGATGTACCTCGCAAAGAGATTCAAAAGAGATGCGATAGCAAGGTGAATGGCGCATCACCAACGCTTTCTACGTTTTCTATCGCGTGTTTATTCTGCATCACCGTCGGCTTTGACAGTCGCGACAATCCCTTATTGATTTTATTTCACCGCGTCTTACCCGTCCATCTTTCTGATAGCGCGATACCCCTTTTGCCGTGTGTTTCTAGTCAGCCTTGCGCAGCACACCCCTTCCCTATGCCGATCCTTCCAGAGTTTGCACCAAAACAGCATAATCGCGTGCACAAATTTGATTAAACCCTGGAAGCCACATCCCACCCACGTGCCATCACCATCAAGGATCAAGTACGACGTCATCAAGCTTGGAAGCAGAGAAGGGAGCAGTAACATTGTTACTACCCCGGAAAACAAGGACCCTGTGTGCCAACGAAGTTTATTTTTGCACGACGCAAAGCTACAACGACGTTAGTTCTGTCACAGTACGAAAAAGGAGTTGTCAATTAATACGGCTTCGCACCATTTCTTCCCCGCTCTTCCCATAACGACCTCACCAACCACCGATACTCCCAAGGACCCCTTACGAGGCATCAAAGAATTAAGAGACATCCGTCCGCGCACGACGTACGAATCGAACAATTTTACAAGACTACCCTTCGCATCGACAAAACGTAAGAACTTACCTATTAATCTTCCAAACATACACACATCAAACCACTGAGCCTAGCTGACCCACACAATGCTTAGTTTCCTAGCAACAATGGGCTTCAAATTCCTCTCACGTAGCAGCATGCGGGGCGAAAAAGCCACCCTAGGAACTTCTCTCGGTGCCTCGCTCACACCCACCCTTATCCTGCGCATTGTCCTACGATTCTTTCAGTTCGTCATGGGCCTCACCGTCATCGGTCTCTACGCTGTCGACCTAGACAACGCGCGCAAGCAAGGGAAATACGTCGACTCGAAATGGGTATGGGCCGTCGTTTGCGGTACACTTGGCGCTGTCAGCTCTCTGGCTCTCATACTGCTCAAGTCCTGGTTTTTCTTCGGCGTCGACGCGCTCGTCTTTCTGTGTTATCTTGTGGCATTTGGCATCTTCGGCAAAATGTTCATTAGCGAGAACCCAGAGGGCAACAAGGGCATCACCAGGATGAAGAACGCTGTCTGGGTGCTGTTGACTAACATGTTACTCTGGTTGATTTCGGCTATGGTGGGAGGTTTCATGTTCTGGAAGACGAGAAAGGCAAGGACCACACACACTGGGCGTGCTAACCAGCACGTCTAAAAGCCTTCTCTCTACTCCCCTCTGCCACACTTGGGACTGGGAGTCAGAGAGATTTACTGACTGGATTCGTGCCATTTTCAGATCCGGTTCAGCTTTGAAATCGATATCTCACACGGGGACGATGCGTCTTGGCTTCACGGTTCCAAGACGGTTGCTTAGGGGCCGCCGTCGTCAAGGTCAAGAGCTTGCTCCAGCGAGGAGATACCGACCGGCTCTCAAAGTCCTTTTGTCTCGGATGCGCTCCGTCCCATGCCACTCTTGAACTCGACGCGCCCAATGAACTATTCCCAGAGTTTCCTTCCTCATACTGCGATGCCTTGTGCGACTTGCTGCAAACCCCAGCAGCATCTTTCGGCTGTCCAAAATCAGCGCTGCGTTTCTTCGCCGTTACCGAATATATCCACGCCCCCGCCCACATACCACACCAACCCCTCCACAGTCGCATGTACCGCAGCATCTACGATAGGCGAAGAAAGAGTCGATCCCAACGAAGTAGATCAAGCCCCGACAGACTCTTTCCAAACCTGGCTTTCTCATTTTCCTGATCATTCGATACCCTTTGTTTTCCGCGAACTGATGTCTTGAGCGATGCTATTGTTTTTGTGTTGTTAAGCTCAAATTCTAGCCAGAAGTAGCAGTTTAGCTAGTACAATCACTGAGTGTTTTTACCAAGAGTCATCAACATATTAAACATATTAAACATATTAAACATAGCATCGTGACTTCTAGCCGGCCATGTACGATCGACACATCCACTTGAGAAGTGAGCAAACTAATGTAGGTTTTTACCAAAAGTAGTCCTAGTGCTGTATGGTGCCACCGCAGAACTACCGCAGCACTAAAGGTCGCAGGTCTAGAGTGCTGGAAACGTATCCTCACTGGACATCTCACTAGTGCATTTGGAGTTTGCGGAACCGCATGAGATGAAGTAATCTATTCAACAAGATCTTGATTTTGATCAGAACACATCTCAGCAATGTTGTACTCGTTAACTTCACAAAAGATTTGTTGCACAGGCATGTAAGAATATGTCACAGCGGAGATTGATCAAAGTGTTTGTAAAGAGATTTATTGGTATCTTATGGCTATTAATTCATGGTACTGTCGTAACCAGGCGAGAGTCGCAGTGCTCATCGCTCATAATCCATAGTGGTATCGTTCTGAATCTGGTGATGATTAGAATCTGTTGTATATACCGAAGACAAGTATGGAACATACCGAAGAGAAATGTCGAACCAGTGCTCAAGTACTTAGTACTTAGATGGAGCGCTTGTTGGCCTCGGCGGAGCCCTCGTGCTTCTCCTGGTTGATCTTGTCACCAGCAGCGTTGAGAGCACCGGAGGCACGGTCGGTGAGGGAGTCCTGGCCGGGGACGTTGCCCTTGGCCTGCTGCTTGTTGCCCTCCTTGGAGGCCTCAGCGGACTGGCCCTGGACAGTCTCGGAGACGTAGTTGGCGGCGTTCTTGACAGAGTTGACGGCCTGGCCGATGATGCCCTCGTTGGGGTTGTTGGCGTTGGGAGCAGACATTTTGAGTGTTGGGGTGGTTGGTTGGTTTGGTTTGAAGGAAGTGTAGTGTAGTAGAGGAGTTGAAGGCTTGTTGTGTGATGAGGGAAGCAAAGGGAGTCGGGCGTGAGGGTATTTATGTAGAGTGAGAGGGGTAGGAGATACAGGCTAGTGGAGGGGCTGAGCGCTAGACTCGAACGCAGTACAAACAAACATACGTCACTGTTTGAGTGCTCCAGATGTGACGTCACAGGGAAGGAGCTCTGGGTGAGGGGGCTAGACCACGCAAGCGCGGGCGAGTACCCGCAGCTACGAACCATCACATGCAACGCACAAACCCAAGGAAGACGGTGGCACTTTTTGCAAATCCCGCTGTAGATCGTGATTATCATGCGTATCGCGTCATGGGCGATTGGGTTTCTCATCTGGCATTCGCTGTGTGCCTGAAAGATGCCCCTCTATTGCCCCGCCAGTGACGTCAGGCCATGGACCGCGGCTTGCATCAAGCTTGCGTCAAGTACAGCTGCCTAAACAAAGCACGCAAACGCTTGCCGCAAAGCAGGACAGTCGCAAATGTCACGCGCTCGTGTTTCAGCCCGATAGTAGGCGGTCGCCGTAGCAATGCAGGGCCAGCTGAGTTCCGTAGGCGTCGGTTCCGGAAGGTACTTGGTCCCGGAGGGGTTTACTCCGCTGCACAGGAAGCATACTGTGGCCTGGAAGCAGACAAATTGCCGTATGCAGATAGCCAACACGTCATGAAAAGAGCTCATCGAGATGGCTCCACCCGCAGTGACCTGGCAGCTTCGCCCAAGTGGGGGCAAGGGGCGAGGACAGGTGTACTTGCCGCGTCCGTGCCGACATCTGGACTACATGTACACAAAGTCTAACCTTCATACGAACAACCACCGAAAACCTCACGCGACCGATGGCGAATTCAGGATACGCGAATGTGGCAGAAGAACCATGATGAAAGGGGATTAATTGCCGCTGTGAGCGGATGATCTAATACCTCTATGGTACCAAAAATCTAAACCGAGAAACTTGGAAGGAACGGTGCGAATGGAGTCATGACAGCGCCTGTACCAGCAAGCCCACTGCCACTCGTACAGTCGTCCGTCGTAGGGTATCGTAACTTAAAGGATGGTGCAATGCGGTCGGTGTCCCTTGCGCTTGGGTCTTCCAGTATGCGTCCGGGACCTTGGACCAGGCCTCGGTGAGTCGGGTGGGGCCATGCGCGACCGTTCCTGTTGATCTTTGCGGATGATTTGCCTGCAGAGGTCGACAAAGGCCTCGTCCACGTTTGCTCTTCTCCGAGCACTGGTTTCAAAGTACGGTATATTCCACTCACGCGAGATTGCAAAGGCTCGTGGGCGTGGCACTGCTCGGTCATCTTCTAGATCTGACTTGTTGCCGATGAGGACCATGGGAACGTTGCTATCTTCCTTTATTCGTCGTATCTGCTCCCGAAGCTCTGCCAGTTCCCAGAAAGAAGACGCCGACGTTATGCTGAAGACCAGAAGGAACCCCTGACCGGTTTTCATATATAGTTCCCTATCGAGTGTAAGTCTTGAGCTGTAATGAGCCTCGGACGGTATGTTACCTCATGGCAGCTACTTGAGGTTAGTCATGGTTTCTGGGTGCATGGGGCAGCTGTCAAGACTTACTGAATTGCTCGGTGCCTGCAGTGTCTAGAATCTCCAAGATGACATGGCGGCCCTGGAGTGGGTCAGCGACGGGGTAACGAGAGCAACTTGAAGCAGACGCACGTCAACATCAAGCACCTTGCGGTACGAGTCTTCGATGGTAGGATCATAACTCTCTATCCATACATTCTGCACGAATTGCGCTTTGAAGGGGTCAGCATTCTGTAACAATGGCGAGCACTCGAGGCGGTAACCTTACCTGTTAGGCAGCTCTTTCCGACTCCACCTGCAGCGCCACCGTCGTCAGCTGTCTTCTAGTTGCTGGCGGTGTCTAACTAGCTTACCAGAACCAAGGACGACTATGTGGTACTCCCGTTGCGACATGCTGTGGATTTGCGTGAGCGAGCAGCTTGCTGCGAGGCCAGGAGGAAAATGACGAGAAGTGCTCCTCGCCGCCTTCTGTGGCGGTGTGTGCCACAGAGGGACGAGCGGCTCAAAATCGCCGTCGTCTAGCAGAGGCTAAGCGGTCACAGTCGCCGTGCTGCTTGGACACTGCGTCTGTACCAGCGAGCTGAGTCGGGCGGTGCGCGTCGTACTGCGCTCTGGGCCAACCACACTTGTCAGCGCATGTATTTCTAGATCAAGCTGGGCCCAATCAGAGAAAAGCAGGCTTGGATGCATCAATCAACGAGCCATCAGAGCAGCTCGACTGCATGCATGCGCGGGCAAGTTTGTGTAACTCACCTGTTTGAAGCGCGAGGTTGGGGGGCTGGGGCAGATTTTTCCCGTCACGTGAAGGTCGAGGTGGGAGAGGGAAACGGCGTCGCGATAATCAGGGAGCAGTCGAGAAGAAGGTAGCGAAGGCACATGCATGCAGTAGACTTGGTAGGGCTTAGCAGGAGATATGCTAGGTGTTCGGCTCTGGGGTGCAGCCCGTACAGCCCGTAATTATGCCAAAAAAAACAAAGCGCCGAGATGCTGGGAGAGGGAAGGAGACGAAGACGTCGTGGCCAGTCGCGAAACGAAGCCAGGGCGTCGGGACAAGCTCCAATCTATGATAGCGTGGTCCTTGTATCGAGTCGTGCACAAGAAGGGTTCGCAAGGCTGTCGAGCAAGCATCACAGTCGACGTAATTATGGCCCATGGAGACGACCCGGTTCCCCGACGCCGCCTGCAACTGAGTCGTGAAAAGGCTGGGCTGGCGGTTCCATGTTCCATGTTCCATGTTCCAAGGCTAGGGAGCAGGGCACCCAATAAGGGTCCCGTGATCCGGAGCAGGTCTGGCACGTGCGCCAGGGCACTGCAGAGGTGTGTGCTGTGAAGCCGACACATGGTGGATAGTAGCCGAACGACGAGCACGCCGACGACGAGCTGCAATTCCACCCGACCATGCGTTTCCATGCGGCCATTGCCCTTGCAGCATGTCTCGCTCCGGCAGCTGCCATTTTCGAGGACGACGCTTATCACATTGATTTCCACTATGCGCTGCTAGGCCTTCCTGCACCAGAGGCCACCTTCTTCCAGAAGCCCTATGCCGGCTCCAAGGCGTCCCTGCTGTATTCCATCTCGCAGAACCAGACCATCGGCGCCATCAACCCCAAGGATGGCGCATTGGTCTGGCGCCAACACTTGGCCTCGCAGCCCGGCCAAAAAGGACACCTGCGCTCCGGAAACGAGCAGGATACCGTCATCAGCGCTGTTGGAAACCGCGTAACGGCATGGAGTGCTTCGGATGGCCGATTCGTGTGGGAGACTAGCGTCGAGGGCGCCGCAGTCGAGGATCTCGAGATACTGGAGCAGGAAGATGGCATGACCATCAGCGCGGCCAAAGACGCCATTGTCCTTACTACCGACGGCAGCAGCAGTGTCAAGAGGCTCGACGGCAAGACTGGTCGCGCCAAATGGACCTTTGAGGATACCAGGTAGCTATGCCAAAACATCGACATGTAGCAAACGCTGACTTGTTCACAGCGGAGATACGCCCTTCCAGATCTCGACCTCACCCACCACCATCTACTACATCGCCCTCCACACGCCCCTGCTCGGAGGCTCCAAGCTCCGGGTCACATCCCTCAACCCCATTACCGGCAAGAAGCTTGACCAATACACCCTCAACTCCGACACTGAGATATCCTCGCGCGACCGCATCCTGTTCGCTGGAGCCAACACAGCTGCCCCACTACTGGCGTGGACCGACAAGGCGAACAAGGTGCTGAAAGTGAACATCATCGGCTCCAAGGCTGTGTCGACCTTCAACACGCCAGGCGACGAAGTGGTAGAGAGCATCGTCCTGCATGCTCCCAACCACATCAACTCGCTCGCCCATTTCCTCGTCGAGTACCAAACCGCCGTCGGTCATTCCGCCGAAGTCTACCACGTCGACCTCAACAAGCAAACCATCTCCAAAGCCTACAGCCTCCCAGAGCTTAAGACGAAGGGAACATTTGTTACAAGCACATCCGACGCCAACGTCTACTTCACCAGGCTTACCGAAGACGAAGTCACTGTCTTCTCTTCTGTCTCGCATGGCGTATTAGGTCGCTGGAATGTCAGGGGCTCTCCGGTACTTGCGGGCGCCTACCCTGTGCATGGTCAGTCTGAGGTTGTCCTGAAGTCTGGCGTCGCTAGCGCTGTACGGTCCGCTGTCCTGTACTCCAACGGACAGTGGGCACTCCTGCGAAACGATGAAATCGCCTGGACCCGGCCCGAGTTTTTGTCGGGCACTGTCTCTGCAGTCTGGGCCGGCCTTCCTGAGGAGGAGGCCTTGGCACAAGCACTTGCCGATGAGAGCCACCGTAACCTCGTCTCCGCTTACATCCACCGTGTGCAGAGGCATATTGAGGATCTGAAGTACTTCCCAGAATGGGCGCAGAATATTCCCCAGCGCATCTTGGGTAGTGTGGTTGGCAAGCCCAAGGAAACCACAGTCGACGATATACAACAAGATACCTTTGGCTTCCACAAACTGGTTGTCGTCGCCACCAAGACGGGTCGCATCGCTGCCCTCGATGTTGGATCGCGGGGCAAGGTCATGTGGAACATGGACCTTGGCCAGTTTGCGCCTGATACAAGCTTCCAAAATCCGACTCTGAAGGCACACAGTGGCTACGTTGAAGTAAGGGATGCCAGCTTCCAGGGCTCGCTTTTCATCAATTCGACGACTGGTGGCCTTATTTCTCCCGACAAGATCAAGGTTGAGGCTCCCCTTGCTGCCAAGGGACAAGAGCTTGTTTCTTTTACCTTGGTTGACGGTACTCTGAAAGGCTATCTGGAAAGTAAGCCTGGTTCCGAACCAGTGTGGAGTTTCACGCCACCTGTTGGAGAGAAGATCGCTGGCTACGTCGCCCGACCAGTCAAGGATCCCGTTGCGTCTATTGGCAAAGTGCTAGGAGACAGGAGGGTACTATACAAGTACCTGAACCCCAACCTTGTCCTAGTTACGGCAGTCGTTGAATCTGCGCGGTCCGCTTCCATTTACTTGATTGACTCTGCATCCGGACAAGTACTACACACTATGTCACACAACGATGTTGATACCACAAGACCCATTCCGGCGACCGTCTCAGAGAATTGGTTTGCGTACGCGCTGACTATCGATGCTGCATCTGGTGCTTCATCTCGCGGCTACCAGCTTGTCGTTTCTGATCTTTACGAATCTCCTCTCCCTGACGACAGAGGACCATTGGGCGCTACATCTAACTCTTCTACTGTGCAACCCTCTGGCTCGAACGGAGATGCCGCGAAGCCTTATGTGATATCTCAGAGTTATCAGGTACCAACAGAGATTACACACATGAGTGTTACGCAAACCAGACAGGGTATCACCAGTCGCGAACTCCTTGTGACTGTACCTGCAGTCAACGCTATTATTGGTATTCCACGGACGGTCATTGATCCTCGCCGACCAGTCGGCCGTGACCCCACTGCGCAAGAAGCTTCTGAAGGCCTCGTCAAGTATACACCTGTCATCAACTTCGACCCGAAATGGCACCTTACCCACAAGTACGAGGTTCTGGGTATCGAGAACATCATCACGAGCGAGAGCGGAATTGAAAGCACTAGTCTGGTCTTTGCCTATGGCTTGGACATCTTCGGTACACGAGTTGCACCCAGTTTTGCCTTTGATATCTTGGGCAAGGGCTTTAACAAGATTTCCATGCTTCTTACTGTTGTTGGATTGTTTGTTGGAGTCTTGTTTGTCGCGCCTTTGGTAAGTTCATACAATTCTCACCTTTCAGCGTACTTATGCATTACAAAGCGTACTGACAATCTCTCTAGGTCAAGCGAAAGCAGATCAACACCATGTGGACAATGTGATCGACTACCAAAACACGGCCCTCTGAAGAGAATAAGCTTTGAGCGCATCCAAGTCTCCAGAAGACTTAAATACACATACACGCCCCGAGGTCCGACGCTGCTTAACAGCGCTAGCCTAGTAGTTGCCGCCATCAGCGCGGCCCTACTGCACGTCTCTGATTGAGACTACTCGTACCTGAGATGGCGCAAGTAGAAAAATACAATCGTGTCAAGTCAAACTCTGCACCTATCAATTTGTAATGCATGACGGCTGTACCCGAATAAAAGTAACGATCTATATCCGTTTATTTCCATGCAGGGAAACGTCAAGATCCAAAGCCGTTTTCTCCAATTACGTGGGGCGGTGAAATAGGCTCTAACACATAGCGTGTTTTCTCCACCCGCTATTCCTCCACTAACGTCACCGTTTGTAATAAACAAAGTCCGCACTGGCCGGAGATAAGGACATCGACTACCTTTTGGTACAATGATGCAAGTGCCGTGCTGTGACGCCGACGTGCAAATAGCTGTGCATAGCTATATATACATGAACCGCCCTCTGTGCTGCTAATGTGAACAGCAATATAACACAACACTCGGTTTATATCAGCCTCCACTACAACCAACAAAACAAAGATCTCGGGACAAGTTGCCTGCTCAACAGGAAGCACCCAAAACATACCACCTATTCAGCTCATATCCCCCTACACACATCAAGACAGAACCATGACGGACCAAAAGCGCTACACCAACAAACTAGAGAAATCACGCATCCTAGTGATTGGCGGAACGTCAGGCCTCGGCTACAGTGTAGCAGAAGCATGCCTCGAAAACGGAGCGTTAGTGACTATCAGTTCGTCAAATAAGTCACGTGTGGACAATGCTGTGTCCAAACTCAAGGATGCCTACCCATCAGCAGCCGACTCCAGCAATCCCCGCATCTGGGGTCTTACCGTTGACCTGGGAAAACCAGACACGCTGGAACAAGAACTGAAGACGCTTTTGGATAAGACAGTAGGCAGCATGCCAGAGGGAAAACTCGACCACGTCGTCTACACCGCAGGAGATAAGCTGGCAGAGATGAACTTGAGCGATATGACAATGTCGAAAATCGTAGCCGCAGGCCAACTCCGTTTCTTCGCCCCTCTCCTCCTGGGAAAACACCTCCCCAACTACCTTGTCCAGTCCTACAAATCCTCCTACATCATCACAACGGGCGCCGTGTCCGAGAAGCCGATTCCCAACTGGAGTGTCGTCGGTTCGTACGCTGGGGGTGGGCACTCCATGGTGCGCGGTCTGGCTCTCGATATGAAGCCTATCCGTGTCAATGGTGTTAATCCTGGAGCGGTGGAGACAGAACTTTGGGATCATTATCCGGAGGAGCAGAAGAAGGCAATTATGAAAGCTATGGAGGGGAAGATGGCGACGGGGAGGGTTGGAAGACCGGAAGATGTAGCGGAGACGTACTTGGGATTGCTGAGAGACTACAACGCCGATGGATTTATGGTGAGAACGGATGGCGGTGGATTGTTGATGTGATTAGAGTAGAATCTATGTAAGCATCTCATGTTCCTCACGGCATATGGCAGGAATGCAAGGTATTCTCAAGGTTCAAATGATGGTATATATCATCAAACCTTGTTGCCGCTCCAAATAGCAAAAATTTGGGACGCAATTCAACCCATAAGCACCAATCAACACTTCAGTCTCCCGTTCTCTTGACCAAAACCCTCAACCCTTTGCTGTCCAGCTTTGCCACGGGAATGAAGAAGTCATGCGCCAGTGTAACATCCTCGACATCGCTCTCATGTAGCTCAAACTTGTATCGCCTGAACATCATGCCCAACGTGAGGTACAATTCGATGTAAGCCAAGTTGATGCCCAAACAAGATCTGGTTCCTCTCCCGAACGAGACCATGAAGCGCTCCAAAGGAATACCCTCGGGTGTCTTGGGATCATCGAGCCAGCGCTCCGGGATGAATTCGTGAGAAGAAGGGAAAATCGTTTCATCGTGCGAGACGTCAGGAATAGTCATGGACTTTGTGGCATGCTAGTCAGCAGCAGAAGTGGAAGTGGATCATCAAGTGGAGGTAAATTACTTACGATGCAGGTATTTGCGGGGATTACCCACTGTCCATACTTCAAGGGTGTCTTGTGTGTCCTAGGATTCCTTGCACTTAGTCCGTACGACATTCGCGCTGTCTCCATGATGATGGCTTTGAAATAGGGCATCTTCTCTAGCGGACCCAGTTCCAGTACATCTCGGTTGGGGAAGGCTTCGACGAGCTCTCTATGCAAGCGCTCGTAGATACGTGGGGTGTTGATGATGTGGAAAGCTGCTGTGGAAAGCGAGAAGGCGGTTGTTTCGACGCCGCCACCGATGATGATTTGCGCCTCATCTGCAAGACGTTTGTGTGTTTTATCTGAAGCTGGGAGCTTGGAGCTGAGGATCTCCTGGAATATAGTTTTCTTTGCGTCGTTGGATTTTATTTCTTCGCCTTCGAGAGTTCGCGCAATGAGATGCCAGTTATCCTATCTTCCATGTTAGGCTGATATAACACGGTACGAAGGAGATGGGGAGAGGAGTGGCTGTTACGTACCTGCTTAAACTTGAGTATTGACTTTGCTGCTGGCTGGAGCCAAGCGGTGATTCGATCAGGAATACTATTCATGACCTAGAACAACAATCAGCTTTCTGTGTCGTTTGACTAAATTCTGATCCATAGATATATCCTACCGGAAGTATCATGGGAAATTGTGTAGCGACGTGTCCTACGCCGCCAATCTTGATGAAAGCGTCATGAAAGGACTCAAAGTTGGGGTGTTTGAGTTGATTGTAGTTGAAGCCGAAGAAGTAGTCCATGATGATGTCGCCGGTCAGGGCGGGAAAGGCATGAGAAAGATTGAGCGGCTCTGCAGAACCCTCAAACTCTTGCATCCGCACAGAAAGAGTGTCGACATGGCGATAAATGATGTGAATGAAGTCAAGAATTGAGCGACGTGAGAACCTGATGGTAGGTGTTAGTCTTTTTGGTATCTGACGTCGCAGTGCAAAGGTCATACATATGAGCCACGGCTGCACGGCGTCGCTTGTGTTGCTCGGCATTGACAGTGGGAAGCAGGCCGCCCGCACAGCCAAACCTTTTGTCCCATCCTTCCTTGTCAAGATGGAGGTTCTTGGCGTAGACTTGTTCGTAAAAAGAAGGATCTCGTATGTGTAACTCATCAGGCGTCACTCGTACGATAGGTCCATACTCGTCGTGTAGCTTGGAAATCTGTCTAGAGTACTGCCCTTTCAACACTATCTCGTAATAGGCCTCGTACCAGCTTGAAACAGCCGCTATCTTCGGTCCAGGAAAGCGCGATAGTGGGTGGAAATATAGGCGGTAAAAGACACGTGCGACGAGAAACCCAAAGTACGCCAGAACGCACAGGACGGGTAGAGACATGATGGCTGGCTGTCAGAGCGAAAAAGAAATGAACACGCGGCAAAGCGCTCTTTTGACTAGATTGAGATCCTACATGTCGCTAAGGCAAGTGATCACTTCCACACTGGTTATGGCATAGAGTGGGTGTGTGAAGACCCGGCATTTTGGAACTCACGGCCTTGCCGCGACGAATGTAGAGAGGTGGAAGATATAAGGGTTGGCCTGACCCCGCGAGCGCATGAGAGCTCTTGGAAAAGAACACAGCATGTCGGCCGCCCCACCCGACGAAACAGCTCCTCAGGGAAACCTGGAATCCGTACTGCATCTCGATGTTGATACGGCGAGTAATAGTGACAGCGACTCGGCGTTCGGCAGCGAGTCGACGGCATCAACGTCTATTGCGTCGACAATTCTGAATTACGAATACTCCAATGGGCGACGCTACCACGGCTATCGCTCGGGTGCTTACATCCTACCGAACGACGAACAGGAGCAGGATCGCCTCGACTTGCTACACCACATATTTCTGCTTATCCTAGGCGGCAAACTCTACGATGCGCCTATTCCACCCGCTCCCCAGCGTGTCCTTGACATTGGTACCGGCACTGGCATTTGGGCCATAGACTTTGCCGACGAGCACCCAGGCGCTCAGGTCATAGGCACCGATCTCAGTCCCATCCAGCCGACATGGGTACCGCCCAACGTCAAGTTTTACATTGACGATGCCGAATCCGAATGGGTCTACAGTCCCGACGAGGCCTTTGACTTTATCCACTGCCGTACCATGTCTGGTAGCATCGCCGATTGGGACAAGCTCGTCCAGCAGACGTTTACACACACCAAGCCCGGCGGTTATGTAGAATTTCAGGAACCGCTCGCGCTGTGTGAATGCGACGACGGGACTATAGACTTGGCAGTCGACATGTTGAAGTGGCAGGACCTGTGTCTCGATGCCGCTAAAAAGTTCGGCAGGGACATCCGCGCAGGGCATACCCTGAAGCAGAGGATGACGGATGCGGGGTTCGTCGACGTACACGAAAAGCTTATCAAGGTATGTATACATGCAAGCTAAACCAATCTGCACAGTATGCTAACAAGGTATGTAGGTCCCTATTGGACCCTGGGCCAAGGACGCGAAGTTCAAGGAGATCGGCCGCTACCAACGCGAGCACATGTCTATGGGCATAGAACCCTACACATTCGGCCTCTTGGGCAAGGTCATGGGCTGGACTGAATCCGAGTGCCGGGTTATGATTGCCAAAGTGGTTGCGGATATCAGGAGAAGGGATGTACACATGTATATTCCATTCTACTTTATACACGGACGGAAGCCGGAGTAGGACGTACATGACATATATCTATATAACACCAACCAACTACATTCGCCGTTTGACCCGCGTGAGAGCCCTCTCAACGACAGTTCTGCCTAGCTGTGGTATACTCCGTACACCATCCATCTCTTGGGCTTCGTCCTCATGCTCTTCCTCTACAGAAGTTGGCACGACTGTGACTTGGTACTGGCGCGGTGGATCTTTCAGACCCGGCCAGATGTCTAAGGGTAAGTAGTCGCCCTGAGCCAAGGTAAACTGCTCCCTTGCGCGCTCATCTTCAAGCCGCAGTCTATCCAGCTCCTTTTGCGCTTCTTCGGCTTTCCGTTTCGCCTTTTCGTGCCGTCGTCGGCGTGACGAGATCTCAACGAGGAGCTCGGCATAGGCAAGATCGAAGCGCTCGTAGAAGTCGCGCTGATTCTCCCAATCTTCGATGCCGCTGATTAGGCTGGGCCGCGTGTCTTGCAGCCACGAAGCATAGAAAGAGCGTGAGGTAACGATATGACCCTTGACTTGGCCAGTAACTTGCGACACCATCTCGAGTATGCTTGAGAGAGCTGAGGATTCGCTGCGGACGTGGCGGATGTGGTTCTCGATCTGGCCGAGGAGGAAGGTCATTTCAGAGCCTCGTTCCTGGATCTCGTTGACGACGTCTTCCACTTCCTGCGCGTCCTTTTGCAAAACGTTTAGCATGTCGCGGCGCTCTTCTTCGCTCATGGGCTCAGGCGGTGCGGCACCATTATCCCCGGAGTGGACTGGCGCATCTCCTGTAGCTTGTGTAGCAGCGGCGGAACCTCCTTCTGTATGACGCAAGGCTGTTATGCATAGATCGTAGTGTTGTACAAGCGACTGGAATGCCTGGGCAGCTTCCTTTGCGTGGCCCTCGAGGTTGTGGTATAGGCTTGGTATAGGACTCGGAGTAGACGTGGTTGCGGGTGTTGTGGGCACGTTCTCGATGGAAGAGTAGATGTTGTCGAGGCTTGTATCAAAGTCACGACAGCTCTCATCGAGGGCGGCATGGGCGTCGGTATAGCGGTCTATGCAGGCGCGCAGTGCGGTCTGGAGGTTGGAGACAGCGGCGCTGTCGATGAAGTCGTAGAGATGCTTCTGCGGAGTGCCCTGAGGCTGCAAGGCGGCTTCGATGGGTGTTTCGCGGAGTACAGCGAGGGTAGAGTTGAGACCGGCAAAGGACGTGTCGACGTCGTGGAGCAGCTGCTTGTACTCGGCCTGCACCTCAGCCTCAACCACGTCTATGCCGCGGCGGACGGCTTCCAGAGCATCCACCTGCTGCTCCACTATGTTGCGTATGGATGTGTTCTTCGCAGCGACGACCGCGTTCTCTTCCAAGAGGTCACGTGCCGTGTTTACGATTTCGGTGGCTCGCCATAGTACCGTCTGGGTGTTGAGTGCGCGTTTGGCGGCGACGAAGTGGTTGACGAGATGCTCGAGAGTGAGGGACTGGGTCTGGTCCTGGTCCAAAGACGTTCTAGAGGCAGCGCCACTGCTGGTGGGAGATGCAGGAGAGGGTGGAGAGGCCATGATGTTGGCGACGACGAGGGCTTATGTCAAGCATAGTGGCCGTAGTGCCGGTGGAGTCGTGGTGGAGGGAAGGATGCAAAAGGCTGGGGTACGTGAAGCATGACAGCTGCGGGCTAGGATCGTGCTTCCGGGAGGGGCTTGGCGGGGGCTAGGGCTGCATTAGGAACAGGGAGCAGGGTCCACCACTGCGGAGACATTGGCATTGCGTGCTGAAGATGCTATCAAGGGCTGGCATTGCGCCATTCAACCTATTCTTGCGCCCACCATCGCCTCCGCCTAACGGATTCTTGCGCAACCTTTTGTCGAGTCGCCGTCACACTCGCTTCGCCGCATTCGCCGGTACAACCAGACAGTTGGGGCTCGCACGCGATATTGGCCCGGAATCTCGACAACGCCCGCCGCTGCGACACATGAATTGAACATGGCCTCGCATACCGCCCACGCCACCATGACCACCACCACCACGACCCCAAAGCAAAGGCGGCTCTCATGGCGCGCTCGCATCCCTTCGCCTGACGACTTCACCGCCGCCACATCCACCGACCCGCACGCTGCTCTAATGCAGGGCCACGACCACGAGGGGCTCTCGGAGCGGACCAGACACTTGCACGGCGGTACAGACGACGCTGAAGAAGCCCAGGCCAACAAGTCTAAGAAAATGGAGAAGATGATCACGCCATATCTCGCACAACATATCCCTCAGCAGTACAATCCGCTCGGGGCCAACAGCCCAGGTCAAGACGAGCGCCCGCCCACTGCCAACACCAAGTTCTGCTACCGCCATCGTCCCGATCTATTGTGTCGACGACAAGCAGACGAGCCGTCCATGGAGCAACTACAAGAGCAACTCGGCAGGGAATCCCAGGCTGACCAGCAGAGCATTGCCAATGTCTGGTCGCTCTTCTCCGCTGCCCCGTCTCGCCATCGCAACCTCATGCTGCAAGGTATCCTCGCTCAGTGCTGTTTCCCTCAGCTCTCCTTCATATCCTCGTCCGTCCGCAATCTCATCAAGATCGACTTCCTCGGCGCGCTCCCCACCGAGCTGGGCTTCAAGATCCTCTGCTACCTCGACACAACCTCGCTCTGCAAGGCCTCGCAAGTCAACCGAAGGTGGAGACAACTGGCAGATGACGACGTCGTTTGGCACAAGATGTGCGAGCAACACATTGACAGGAAATGCACAAAGTGCGGCTGGGGGCTCCCGCTGCTCGACCAACGTCGTCTGCGGCACGAGAAGAGACGGATACAACTACGCGCATCTGGACGGGGTCTCAACGAGTGGTCGCCCAATATCACCCCGCAACCAGAAACCTCCCAATCGCATGCCATACTTGCTCATCGATTGTCACAAGACTCTGGCGCCAATGTTGGTGCTAAGCGCTCTGTACCAGAAGACGACTCCTCACCAGAGGCGTCCAACAAGCGAGCATGCACCAGCAACCAAGCAAACCAAGACCAAGTCACAACCTACTTTGACCATCCCAAGAAACGACCGTGGAAAGATGTCTACAAGGATCGATACAAGGTTGGTAGCAACTGGAAGTACGGACGCTATTCAACGCGCACCTTCAGAGGCCACACCAACGGCGTCATGTGCCTGCAGTTCGATGACGAGGTTCTCATCACGGGCTCTTACGATGCCACAGTCAAAGTCTGGGATATCAAGACGGGCCAAGAAATACGCACACTTACCGGCCATACCCAAGGTATCCGGTGCCTGCAGTTTGAAGACAGCAAACTCATCACCGGAAGCTTGGATAATACAATCAAGATTTGGAATTGGCGGACGGGCAAAGAAATCAAAACCTTGACTAGCCATACCAATGGTGTAATTGGCCTGCATATGGCGGACAAGCTCCTGGCATCTGGATCTTCTGATAATACCATCGTGGTACACGACTTTAGCAATATGAAGCGCACCACACTAATGGGACACACGGATTGGGTCAATGCCGTCAAAATTGATCTGCCTTCACGTACTCTCTTCTCTGCATCCGACGACATGACAGTCAAGCTCTGGGATCTCGACACCCATCACTGTATCAAGACATACGAGGGCCACGTAGGCCAAGTTCAACAAGTGCTTCCCCTTCCGCAAGCCTTTGAAATTGACGAAGACGACTTCGTCGCAAATGCAAACAACGACACTTCTGACACGGCCTCTCTCGCCTCCGATACCACCCAATCTTTCGCCCAACCCTCGTCTTCTTCTTCGCACAACTACAACCATCCCGAAGAACCATGTTTCTTCCCAGACGAACCCTCTCGTCCGTCACCACCCTCCTACATGCTCACTGGCTCCCTCGATGGCACGATCCGTCTTTGGCACGTGCCCTCTGGCCGCTGCGTCCACCGCTTCTTCGGCCATGTCGAGGGCATCTGGTCGCTTGCTGCCGATTCCCTTAGATTGGTCAGTGGGGCCGAGGACAAGACGATCAAGATCTGGGATCCCAGAACGGGCAAACATGAGAGGACGCTGACAGGCCACACAGGCCCTATTACTTGTGTGGGCTTGAGTGATGAGAGGGTTGTTAGTGGTAGTGAGGATGGTACGGTGAGGGTGCATTGTTTCGTGGATGAGGGACGGGATTGTTGATGATTGAATGACTGCATAAACGGATACTATTGGATTTATTCTTGTTGCGCCATTGTTGCGCAATTTTAGCGATTTTCTTCTTCTACTGGCCATGGGCAGGTTTAGGTCCCATGTAGGGTTATTGTGGTTTTGGGTGTATTTTATCTTGTCATCATACCTCTTTGATGTCCAGATGGGCGTTTTAATAGATACCCTCCTTCTGTCTTTAGCGAAAATCAATCTCTGGTTGTCTTCAAGATATGCAATGTTTGATGTGTCTAGGCTTAAATCTGCCCTATGTCGATGTATCTACGGATCAATCTTCAGGGATCCTGGCGAGAAGTTGTGTATGGATGGCTTGAAACCATAGAGTACGGTCTGAAGCGATCGCCTAGAGGTCATCATCACTTTCTGGTGCGTTGACACTCCCCACCGTGAAGAAATGCCTTCCAACTTGGCCGCTGGAAACTTCAGAGATAGCGAGTGACTCAGAAGGTACGTTGTTCGAGTTCATCTTTCTCCGGCCATGAGCGCATGCCCTACTCTAAAATGTTCCCTAATCTCGCGTTGTGTCCATCACGAGATGTCGACCTCTAATATGCAAACCTCGCTCACCATTCTAAGCTCAAGCTTTCAACCCAGCTGCCTTTCTTCTCGACTTTTTGCGCACTCACGATGTTCCCGTTGCCCAGATCTGCCCCGTAGAGATGTGCAAAGCAACCTCGTCCGACCTCTTCCCATTTGAGTTCAGCCTTCTTGTCCGCATGAACCTGCCCGTCGCCATCGGTACCCGCGGCCAGCGCCTCGTACTTGATCTTCAGTAGCCACAGCTCCGAGACGTCGCTGAAGAACTTGTCGGCGGTGCCAGGGACTTGCTCTGATGTCGAGAGATGGATGTAACCGTCATTGCGGTCGAGATCTGAGAGCGGAAGACGAGCGGGGAGGGGTGATGGCGGGGCAGAAGGCAGGATCTTATATAAGCAGGTTGGGAGGGGCGAGGGCGCTGGCATTGTGGCGTCTATTTTCGGATTGCGAGAAAGTGGAAAACGCGGTATGCAATGTGCGGTGAGTGGTGGTCTGTGACGTTGCGGGAGAATGGATAGTAGTTTGGGCAGCAGGAACTAGAGAGCGTCACAAGTCGCGAGAAATGCATGTTATGCTCGTGATTGGCCGAGGCGAGATTACGTGAGACCATTTTTTTAGACAGCGTACCACTGTTCAAACATGCCCTTCTGAGCGCCACAAAAGCCAGCCTGATTGTGGCACTTAGGCAACATGTCGCGTCCGTCTTTTCACCGTACACCTACCCATTCGCGACACATCACCAGGTTTTCCTGCATCTCCCCGCCGTCCGGTGCATTTACGTCATTCTGTTCGGGCAGCCTCGCACATTCGCAAGCTTTGGGTGCAGAAGGGCCACCGCAGAACACGTTGGCAACAAAGGACACCTACTCATGAGACCATAAACACTATCGGGCGCCTTTGGAGACTAAACACTATTTTTGCGCATTCCAAACAACAAGATCCGGCAGTGACTACCATTCACATGCGCCCACAGTAGTCGTCAGGCCAGGTGTCGCACGGTTGGTAGGATGCCCCTATCAGCAACAACAGTCGCCCTATCTGCAAGCCAGCCCGACAAACATGGTCCAAACACGGCTCACCCAGGATGAGATGCGCAGTCTCTCAGAAGAGCAAGGGAACGGCCGGACTCGCTGTTGTTTACAGGCGACTGCCGCGACCGCAACGGGGTCACAGGTCGCATTTGACTATCTCAATAAAGGAGCTGCGAACGTCATATTCAAGATTCGGCCAGAACTCAGTCCCAGCGCCAAACGATTTCAGTTCGTCGATGTATCCCCCAAGGACAAGCTGTCTGGAGTAACCACACCAGTAGCCCACCAAAGCCTGATGGGTACAGTCCTCAGAGTCCCAAGGGGCGGCCAAAAGCACCTTTCATCCTTAGAAATACTTGACGGGTTCGAGCATGCAATCCGCCCACTCTTCTTACCAGGTGCCCGTAACAAAATTCAACTAGACCGGGACCTTACCAAACACCTGATGGATCATGAGGGCGTGCTATTGCTCCCAGACGTCATGGACCACCTTTACACTCGAGTTGAAAAGCTTACATTTGCAAACACGCAGTCGCGACGAAAATGCTGGGGGATACTCCTGCCCGACATGTCGCCTATACCAGGGAAATCGATAACGCTAGAAGTGAAGCCAAAGTGGCTTGCACAATCTCCAAACGCACCGCCTAAGGCAGTCCGCTGTCGCACCTGCGCAATGCAAGTAGCTGTGCCCAAGAAACGCGACAACTACATCTGTCCACTCCAGCTGCTCCATGGCAATTCCTCATCGCTGCAACCTTGGTCACAGACAACAGTCATGCGACAATTCGAAGGAGGAAAACCACCAGCCCCAGTAGTCACATCAGCCATTGCAAAAGCTCTCCTAGACTACGTTACAGTAGGCGACGGTATTACTTTACTACAACACCTCCTCAATCTGCAAAGTTCCCTTGATCCTCGCGGCGTCCTTTGCCGACCCCAGGCGGACACTGGAACATTTGATGATAACCTCCGCCTTGCAATGACATTGAGAGACTGTTCAATGTTCATCAAGATCTCATACAACACAGCGGGCGTCACTGCGATTGAGTCGAAACTAGGCGATCTCGACTTCAAGTCCGCCGAAAAGATTGTCGATTGGACGGACAAGGAGAAACAACTCTTACAAGACAGCTCTTACACTAAGAGTGTAAAAGAAGGTCCAATATGTTGGCTCCAGCGGGTACAAGGGGTGAGTGATATTGTCCAGGTATGGAAGTAAGCGTTTGCGAAGGTTCTATCATGATACATGTTTTTATGTTTTTTTTTATCAAGTTTTATTCTGGGCTTGCAACGGATCGGGTTATTATATAGATTAAGATGGGCGCAAGCCTGAAGACTCATATCTACAAAACTTAATGTATGTACTAGTCCAAAGGAAGACTCAAAAGAGCGAGGGAACTACGCAAATTTCATAGCACCAAGTGCGTCCACACACACATTCATTCCGCCATAGCAAGGCCACAAGAAAAAAGGAATTTCAACCTTAATCACAAGTTGCAAGGTTCTATTCTATCTCGTAATATCTTATTTTCCAACATGTCCCCATTCACTCTCACTGTACACCTTACCAAGCTCATACCACCCTACCTCTTCTTTCTCCAAACCACCCCAAACTCTCTTCGCCCACTCCGTCGATGTACTCTCCGCAATCTCCTTCCACGGCAATGCCTCACCACTAAATTCATGCAACGCCAAAAAGCGCGGCGCCTCCTCGGTCACATCACCAACCTGAAATTCGTTGATGACAGTTGCGTTGCTAAGTTTAAAGCGGCGTGAGCGCACAAAACCAGGTGCACGTTCGAGCATGGGGATGTGTTCTTGACGGTACCAAGCATCGAAATCATCAGTGGATGCTGCGTCTTTTGGAGGGTCTAGAGCGGCGGAGATGAGGAATTTGGGTGGGGATGAAGTGGAGCCCTCGACCACCTGTACCTCTTCGTAGAAGCGGATGTCGAAGCGGACATTTTTGTACACATCTTCGATTAGGTCTGCGCCTGGTGGTTTGATGCCTTTGAAACCTTGGCTATCTTTGTAGGATAGGTCCGGGAATTCGTAGAGTGTCTGTAGGGGGGTTGTGGTTAGACGGGATTTCCGGAAAAGGCGGCAGTGCAGTACAGAGGTTATGAACTGAAAAGATGAGCACTTACCAGCCATGGAGCTTCGTTACTATAGTAAGGACGTGAAAGCTTTTGCTGCAGAGCCGTATAGCGAGCAGCGGATGGTACACCGGGAAGGACGAGGACCTCTTTGGCATGCGTCTTTTCACTCTTATGTCAGCTTCTTCACTCCTTTGCCGTGAAACTCTGCCAACCAAGAGCAGAATACATACATTCTCGTACCAATCACAAAACTTCTCGGCAGACAGTTTATCAGGATGCACGATACGCGAAGAAACCCACAGCACACCGCGTGACATGATTGCGAATATGAGGTTATTCAAACTTTGTGGTTCTTTGACTGTGCGAGCGAAGAAGTTATCAACAAGACGATGCTGTGATGATCACAATGTTTTGACACGATGGTGATAAGCAAAGACGTCGGAGGTACTACTACACTGAGATCAGATCAACCCCGTCATGTGATGTTGGGGGAATAGGACCGACAACTAGTCATAGCCCTGGACACCAAGGAACACGTTATCCAACTAAGCCTCCGTAGTATTAGTAAAGACGGGTGGAGTTGTGGGTACCCATGTCCAGCATCGGCACCAGCGGTTAATTCAAGTCTCAGGGGACGGCATCGGGTTGCGATTGAGAGAACTGGTCGTTGTGCCAAATCGAACTTCTATCCGATAGTAGAGAGAAATAAAACGGTTACCAAACTCGCTAAATCGCATCCTCAGATTATAGTCTTCAACAATCGCACTACCTTGTTTGCCTCCAAACACATTTTGAGACTTGTTGCCCTTATGAATCCATGAGATCAATCACTGCGCGACTCTATTATGATACAAATGTACTCTTCTTTGACCTTGGAGAAGGGAGTAATAATCAATGTGATCGATCCATTGCCGCCGCCCGCGGCTCGGTCGAGGCACTTCCTGAGCTTCCCTAACCGTAATGTCGTATGCCACCGTTGACAAGTTTGATGACAAGGAGAACTGCAACGTAGTCGTCAGCGGAATGGGTCGTGCAATTGTAGCTCTACGGCTATGCAGTCGCTACGGCTTTCGTGCTCATGTGTCCGAGAGTAGAGGCTCGACGTTGAGGTTTTGTTGCGGGCTACCGTCAAGCCTAGCTCTTCTCATATGCGCGCTGGACATCGAGCGACTGCTTTCCACCGTTTGCAGTCTGCCAGAAGTCAAGACTGGCAATGACATCGGTACCCAGTTCGTCTTCATAGGAGTATAGGATCTGGACATGGTCAGCATTCTGTATAGATGTCATTTGATGCAGTTGACTTACTTCGCGTGTCGATGTGTGCAGCCATCTAATATTCTTGGCTGTGATGATGTGCACCAGACCTCCGCTCTCCATATGCCGTATCTCAATAAAGCTAGGCTCAAAAGCAAGAATATAGGGATTGAAGATAGCGAAAGCTTGTGGAGTGCCCTCCCATGTAATCTTCCAGTCGGGTCTCGCTCGCCAGCCGTTGCGGTTAACGAAGAATGAGTAGTCCGTGTAGCATAAGAGGAACTCGCTTGCCATACGCTCGATGTGAATTGGTTTGATGTTTTCTTTCCGTACGACGAAGTCGAGCGAAGTATCTGCTTGGTCGAGAAGCGATTGCGTTTCGAGCGTCTCCAGACTGACGACTTCGAAACCGCGCGCGCAGCCAACGCAGAGCTTGGAGCGCAGGAAATGTATCGACGTCGATTCGGTGGGGATGTAAAACTCTTTGTACGGCTTGAGCTGGTCTGCTCCGCTGGTGGAGAGCATCATCTTCGCGAATCCTGACTTCTTGTTCTTGTTGCCCATCTGCTCCTTCGGCTCGTACACCTTGATGGTCGTCGAGAGGGCGGACGTCTTGACTGCAGCAACCAACTGTTGCCCTAAGCAGATGCCGGCCTTGAAGAAGTTGGCGTGGCAAATCTTGCGTGGTCGTTTGACCATAGCCTGTGATTCGTCCGACTCCAGGGCCTCGGTTGAGTAAGAGTACAGCGTCTTGTCGGCCAAGACAAGCACGATTGCGTGTTGTTCGAGAACCTCGATTTGAGTTACGCCCTTGCAATCCAGTACACGCTTGGGCCGCATCGAAGCGTCCTTTGGCTTTCGTTCCACAACGTAAACACCAGCATCCGTACCAAGAGCCAGCTTGCGACCTCCGTCTGTTGAGCGTTAGTGTGAGACTTTTGAGTGCGACAGTTGAATACATACCCAGCGGAACAGCGCAAGTGACTCTGATGGTCGGAGAGAAGAAGCCCTCGTTGACGATCGTCTTGGTAAAGATGTTACTGCGCTCCCTCAGACTTCGCTGCTGCGTGTCGATGTGCTCCATCCACTTCTGTTGAGAGATTGGAGTGCTGGCAAATAGTGTCAACTCGTAACCGCCTTTTCCAAGGTGCTTGAAGGTGATGGGATATCCTTGCTGCTTTGGATCGCTGTTCTTTGGAGTGGCAGCTGCGATAGCCTTTCCGGCAATCAAGTTTGCCGATGGCCTTTTCGCAATGCCTAATTTGGGGTTGACTTCCTCCATTTGTGTGATGACCAACAATTCTAGCGGTATGGGCTTCTTGTAGACTTTCTGTTCTTCGCGCTTGTTCACGGTCTTTGCCCGGACCAGCAAGACCGCATGGTCAAACAAGTAACACGTGATGTCACCGGTGGTTTCTGTTGGAGTCTTCTTCAAAGTGCCCTTGAACACCAATTGTCGGTTCTCATCGGTCAGTTTCAAATCCACGAACTCTCCGGGCCTGAACTTGAGGTCCTTGTTGAGCTGCATCAGATTGAAATGGTTTTCTGCCTTTCCGGATTCCACGTTGACCTTTGATAGAGTCTCTTTGATGATTTTGATAACCTTGGGGATGTCTTCTTTGTCCGGATTATCATCGGCCGTGTACTTTGCAATGTTCTCTAGGAGCAACGGGTACCTGGCCAATCTCGTTGTTGGCTTGGTGAGATAGCCGTTCAGCTCGAGCTTTCGCGACTCCTTCATCCTCTCTACCTCATCGACGAACTTGGCGAATCCGGTGTTTGTACGTTTTTCATGCTCAAACTCGTACTTACCGAAGAGCTGGTTCGCACCGTACTTGATGAAAGGCGCAAAATGTGGCACATACTCGAGGAATATGTCTCCAACGTTTCGAACCACGGCCTCTTTTTGCTGGCGCCTTGTGAGCTGTTCGGCCATGCGAGAGTTGACCATGTAGACTTCTTGGCAATTTGAAAAGACTGTGCGGACAAACTTTTCGCGGCGATGCTCGGGGATAGGTGAAGTAGCGGGGTTACGGAGGGGCTTCATCCAGAAGTCTCGGAGATACTCCAGGTCTTTCACGAAGTCGCGCTCGGTATACATGAGCTCAGAAATGACTTCCTGCCGCTTTTGTTCCTTCTCCGATACACTGTCAGAGATCTCCTTAGGCACCGTGTTGATCCACAGTTTCTGCTCTTCATTGTCTTTATCCTCGTGCAAACTCGCCCTGGATTCCTCACGCTTGAGACCAGGCTGAATGCGCATGTTGAGGCGAGCCTGTTGTTCAAGGCGGCGTGGGCAAGCGATCGAGTAGCACAAGCGGTCGCGTGTACACGTGGGAGAGTAACATTCAGTTAGAAGAGTGAAGACGCCATTGATCTCAGACTTGTCCTCCACCATGGTCTCACGGAACTGGTATATCTCGTTGGTGGAATCTCGCAACCGGTGGGCGTATGTGACATCGTGAAAGAATTTTTGGGCGTCGAGGGAACGACCGAGGAGTAGTGCTAGATTGCGATCCGTCGTCTTGATAATGAAGGAGATGAGATCAACTGCATCTGCACCCGTAAAGGCACTCTTGTACACAAGCCCGTCCTTTTCTTTCTCTGTCAGGCCAACTCGGTCCTGGAAAGTTTCGGCGACTCTTGATAGCAAGGCGGGATAGACGAGAGGAGCGCGCCGTTGAGCAGCAGGAACTTGGTTAGCTGTTGAGAGCGATGTCATGGACTGGTTGGAGGTTCTGTTGTTGCTGGCGTTGCTACCCAGAGTCTGGGTGGAATCAGGACGCGACGTCATGGAAGACATGGTGCTTGTCCGCTCTGACGGGGGCACAATGGTCGAGGCCATGGACATGGTGCGGGACTGGTTCGGCATGTTGCCTTGGCTGATGCTTCTGGGATTTGGCGGGAGTCCAGCGTTCATGTGGGATTGTGGGTGTCCGGGCGGTCCCGGTGCCATTTCAGAGCCGCCGGATTCTCGCCTCCGATTCGGTATAATCCTGCCGCTCATCGTCTGTGTGTGCTCTGGGACTTGGGTGTACGAAGTCATGGACATTGTGCGCTCGTCGGGGCGTTCTGGCACCACACGTCCCTGGGCCGTGGTGCGTGCCATGTGGTTCATGTATGGTTGTTGGCGGAAGGTGTTGGCTTGCGAGGGGTGCGAAGGGCCGCCAGGAGTAAACTGCGGGCGCGGATTCAGAGCAAGCGACTGCGAGCGATACGGATCAGAGTTCATGGCAGGGCCAGGGGGCCCGGGAAAGCGGTTGGGTATAGGCTTGGTGAAGGGGGGCTGCCCCGGAGGGGAGGTTCTCGGGTCGAATCGCTGGGGCTGGCCGTATGGCTGGCGCTCTGGGCGAAGCGGCTGGGGGAGGTACTGGGGCTGCGGCTGGCGTTGAGGCTGCGGTGGTCCCTGGTGGTATCGTGGGTCTTGGCCGTAGCCGTTCGGCATGGGGCGATTGTACTGATTCTGAGGGTCCATGGGCCGCTGCTCTCCGGGGCTGGGGCCCTGACGCTGATCGTACTGAGGGTGAGGGCGACGATCATAGCCATTGACTGGCTGGCGCAAGGGCGGGGCGCGCTGCATCATATCGGCGGTCTGGCTGGACATTGTGGCAGCTCTATCGGGCATGCGCATATGAGACTGCGAGGTCATGGTCTGCGAGCGGCCGGCCATTTGGGGACTGGCGCCGAAGATGTTGGTGAAGGCGGTTTCCCGTGCGCCCGTAGGCTGTCCATGGCTGGGGCCGCGCGCATATTCTGGACGTTGCTGGTTCCCGTAGTCGGCCATGTCTCTTCACGCAGTCTTGCCCGGGTCGGGCCTGTGTGCCGCGGGGGGTTGTGTGGGTGAGAACAAGGGCGACTCGGACAGGTGGGGTGAAAGCCGCCCAGCGAGGACCCAGGGCCGTCCGGAATAAAGATGGTGGTTATGGTGGGTTGGGTGCGGAATGAGGGCGAGTATGGGGTAGTCGTATCCATGCATCGTGTGTATGAGAAGCGCTGGCCAGGTGCTGCCCCAAACCGGTTTAGCGCCCTTTCTCCTACGAACGCCCAGCGCAACGACTATCAATCATTCAACGCATCCCCCATCACGCGCCGCTGCCGACTTCCCAACTACTACACCCCGCCGAATACCTGCGTCCACACCGAGCAGGCACCATGTCGTCAAACGAGCTCGCGCCCAGCTTCGCGCCATTCTTTGGCATGGTGAGTGCTTCGCCTTCGCCGTGTTGATGACTTCATAGCTAACCTCCAACCAGAGCGGAATCGCGTTTGCTGTGAGTGGCACTGCTCCCACATAGCTGTCGAACTAATATACGAACCCTGGCCAGATGATCTTTGGATGTACCACGCCCGACACACCCACCTGGACGTGCATGAGCTAACGGCAGCAGGCGCGGGAGCTGCCTATGGCACAGCCAAAGCAGGCATCGGCATCGCGGGTATCGGAACATACAGGCCAGACCTGATTATGAAGGTACGAGTTGAGTACCTAGCATACCTCGGAGCTCTGTCTAACCAGACCAGTCGCTCATCCCCATCGTCATGTCCGGTATCTTGGCCGTCTATGCCCTCGTCATATCCGTCCTCATCGCCAGCGACATTAAGCCGCCGCCGGACAACACATACTCGCTGTATGCTGGATTCATGCACATGGCTGCTGGCTTGTCAGTCGGATTGTCAGGTTTGGCTGCAGGCTACGCGATTGGAATCGTGGGAGACGCTGGCGTGCGCTCTTTCATGCGCCAATCGAGGATCTTCGTCGGCATGGTCCTCATCCTCATTTTCGCTGAAGTTCTGGGTCTCTATGGGTACGTCGACGCGACTGACAACGGCTGGCCAACGACTAACATTACCAGACTCATTGTCGCTCTTATCCTTAACACCCGCGCAAGTGGTTGAGCATAGTCCTGTGAGAAGCACTTAACTTTATGTTATAGCGAACAAGCGAACAAGGCGGACACGGAGATGGATTTTGTACGACTACATGGTGTAGAAACAGTTGACGAGCATGCAAGCATGGAGTTGCAATATTTGGGTTTGCAATACACTGGAGTTTGGGCCAATCTAGTACAATCGAACAGCATGTTATTCCCGTATTGAATCGAAAGTGACAGACAAGATGGCAGAATGCTGGCGAGTAGACTGGACTTGCGTTGATGTTGTCGGATACCAAGACTGTCGTTTAAGCTGCAACCAGCTGGGTGGATCGTTATATCCGTTAATGCGTTGTCTAACGCCCGAGTTTGAACTTGATTAGCCGTGTCCGGGTTCGATACAGCCTTCGCGACGCATGTTCACGCGTTAATACAGAAACGATTGTCTACTTGCAGAATACAAGCTGGGTAAGCCTAAACGAGCTCGTCGAGAAGTGGCGTGCCGTCTCATCTGGCTTAAGTCGGCTCTATTTCAAGCCCAATCCCACGTCCTGCGTCATTGCAGTGAGTACCACCCCGCAGCACTTGTCGCGCCCGCTTATAGTCCCCTTGGCCGTGGTTCTCGAGTGCTACGAGCCCGGCCCTTCCGCCTGGTTGACTTGCACGATACATTTGCTTACTACACAAACAAAGCCGAAGATTGACCCCGCCGTTGCCTGTGCCTGCTGCCATGTGTTGCTTGAATTACTGATTCCTGGATGAGCCCTGACAGCACTGCAACCCTCGATCGCACCCACTACTCGCACCACCCCCTCGCTGCTGCCGCTGCCGCTGCCGCTGTCGCATAACCCGCCACCATGACGACTACCTTCAAGAGCATGCTGCACCCCATGCAGCACCACCGGGACAAGAAGGAGGCCTCCTCGCCGTCGCATTCTGGCCCGCTACACGACCGCACCGATTCCGCCATGGACAGGCCGCGCGAGGAAGAGAAGCAGCATCTGGCGCAATGGGAGGCGCAAAAGCACACACTCAGCCCCGACGAGATTGACATCGATCCGGAAAAGAAGCCTGTTGGCCACTCCTCCAAGGTTCTGCGCCAGGAAGACTTTGAGCTGATTAAGACACTGGGCACGGGTGCGCATGCGACTCCACGCCGCCAGACACAACAAGACTGGACGCTGACTATACGTCAGGTACATTTGCGCGCGTGTGGCTGGTGCGATTGAAGGACGCAAAGGCGGGCGACGAGAACAAAGTCTTTGCCTTGAAGATCCTGCGCAAAGTCGATGGTACGTCTCGCTCGATGCGCTCTGAACGTACTCTCTTGGTATGCGCCTCTACAGCTACTGACCCTCCCAGTCATCCGTCTCAAGCAAGTTGAGCATGTTCGGAACGAGCGCAATGTCCTTGCCAAGGTTGCCGGCCACCCTTTCATAACTACCATGGTCGCAAGCTTCCAATCGCTCGACTCTCTCTACATGGTGGTACGTAGCGACACGTCTTCATAAGCGCTAGTCATTGGCTGATGTGACGGACAGCTTGACTACTGCCCCGGCGGCGAAGTCTTCAGCTATCTGCGGAGAGCACGGCGATTTAACGAGCCCACCTCACAGTTCTACGCTGCTGAGATTGTCCTAATATTAGAGTTCCTCCATGAGAGGGAAGGCGTTGCATATCGCGACCTGAAACCCGAAAATATACTCATAGACGCCGAAGGCCACCTCAAGCTAGTGGACTTTGGGTTTGCTAAGAAAGTAGAAAATAGAGAGACCTACACACTCTGCGGCACACCCGAGTATCTGGCACCCGAGGTCATTCGGAACACAGGTCACGGTACAGCAGTCGATTGGTGGGCATTTGGTATCCTTGTGTACGAGTTCCTCGTAGGACAACCGCCTTTCTGGGACCAAAACCCAATGAAGATCTACGAGCAGTACGCGGCTTTCAATTCATGTTCAAGACACGAGTGCTAACATGTTTTAGGATCGTGGAAGGTCGTGTGCGCTTCCCTTCTGCCATGTCCCCCACTGCGCGCGACCTCATCTCTGGCCTCTGCACAGTCGACACATCCAAGCGATTGGGTAACGTTGCAGGCGGTGCTCAACGTGTAAAACAACACGAGTGGTTTAAGAACATTGACTGGGTGAAACTGTACAACCGCGAAGTCCAAGGACCTATTGTGCCACACCTAAGGGGACCCGCCGATACACGCAACTTTGATGAATACGAACCCGAGTCGGAGAAGAGAGACCCATATACCAAGGAGTTGAGCGACAAGTGGGAGGAGAGCTTCAAGGATTTCTAGGCCTCGCAAGAAGAGACTAGAAGATAGCAGATAGTCTTGGATATGACATGAAGAGCGAAATCAAGACAAAGGGAGGACGTTGGATATGTGGCATGGAGTCCACAACGAAGCCTTGTAGATCAAAGGGGAAAGGGGCCTCATGCTTGATACGGGTTGTTTTTCTTGCTATGACGAGTACCCCCATTGATACGCACGCTATACGTGCTGCGTGGATACTATTGTTACGTTTCGACACGAAGCGCAAACAAATCATATGGAATGTGAAAGCATCCTGGATATGAGTGTCCCATGATCATTCCCATTGTCATCGTCTACGTTCAACCACCCGAGACTTGTTATTGTTGATGTAAAAATGTATATCCAGTAGTGTAGTCTGGACAATGCCATCAATCTTTCGTCACGAGTTTGTACTGCAGTTGTCCTCTTTGCTCTGTCTGCTGCAATCTTCATGCACACGGAAGTATAGTCAGGATTAGCAGGCAAAAATTAAGACAAAAAACATACAACAGCGGGGATTCGCCAGTGGTCACCCACCTGACTACTAATCCGCCGATTACAAGCTTGAGTACCGCTGAGCGAACGGGAAGCGCTATGTTCTTGAATCTATGGTCGTATGTGGAGGACAAGCTCATATGGACGATACATCAAGCCGTAAGTGGAAGGGTGTATGCATGATTACTGCACGGTCAATGGAACAAAACTGCGACAGACGTTTCATGAGACTAGTATGGTGTCTCGGCCATTGGGATGGAGTCGAATTCAGTTTCTCGAAGGCTGAGGTGTGACAAGCGCTTCTCGCGATGACTGTTGTGTTCCATGGCTGTGGTAACTTGTGGACCAGGACGCAATTTACACATGTCAACCAATGGGCAGGAAACGAGGCCTTATCAGCCACAGTGGCGCACGGGAGCCAAATGTGGTGTAGACTGTTGGTGATATCAAGTTTATCTCAACGGCCTGCATACATGTGGCGATGGATGCACGCGGGAGTCCCATGTGCGAATCGACGATGGGTGCGCGGGTGAGCCGGGCGCTACGTACAGTGGGCGTAGATTGAATAGGAGTCGGGAGGGTCCCAGTGGGCTTTGGCTCAAGATGAGTTGGCGAGGAACGTGCTGGGATAGTCCGTGAAGACAACTCCAGGCGTTCAGCTGTGAATAGTGAAGCGTCCAGTGACATTGGGCGAGCGACGTCTCTAGGATAACGCGTACGTAGGCAGACTGGGCACGCTTTAAGGTGGCAAGTTGGGCGGTGTCAACAGTGAGAGGGGTGAACGAACGCACCCCAAGGCCCAAGCGCGCTTTGAGATTAACATGGTAATACTTGTTTGCAAAGAAGCACAACACGACGCATTTCCTTTTCGTGTCTTGTAGTAATCGGATCGTGCCCCTTTCCTTCTTGTTTTAATCGTAATTGTCTATTCTTCTCGTGAGCCCCCCGCAGCACGACTCTTTCAGATTGCCCGCGAGTGATGGAAAGCCGGCCAAGGCCATCCGATAGCTTCTCACAGCGCCGCGGACCCAGATAAGTCAGGCCAACATTTCCTCGAGTTCTCGCAACGCAACGGCTTCGCAGCGCTTCTCGAAACTGCATGCTGGCCGCCTCCGGCTCGTTGCTGGAATGAGTAGTATCAAGGCGCGGCTGCACAATGCGCGGTCCAAACTTCTGCGACGCAGCAGCGCGACATCGACCCGTGCCAGTGCACGCTCGATAACGTCGTCGGCAGGCAGCGAGCGGCAGCCACCACCACCCAGCTCCCTGCGCAAAAGCGTCTCTCTCCAGAAGCTGCCTGAGGCGTCTAGCCCCGACGCTGCCGACGAGAGAACAGCTGATCCACGAATGGTAAGGTCGGAAGTGCTGGGAACGGCTTCCGAAAGTCAGGCCGACGACGTCCACGGGAGCACTGGCAGCTTGAACACCTCGAGAGATCGACATTCGACATACACGGGCACTTCAGCCGCCAGCACCCACGCCCGCCAGCCCTCAGCAGACGCAGACGACGTGCCCATCGTCTGTCCAGAGGTGACGCTTGAGGCACCCACGCCCATCAACCCCGTAGTGCAGCAGCCTGCCGAGCTCAACCGCGCGGAGCCATCATCGCTTTCTTCCGCACCGAGCGACCACAGCGACCTTCTCCCCGCCGCCAGCAGCAACGACACGTCCCATACGCCATCGCCCGCCCTCGTCCGCCGCCAGTCTGTCGTCAACAAGACCGATGCGCAGATAATCAAGAAGCTGCTCGTCCCCGACATCCCCCAGGCTGCCATAGCTACCGGGCCGCCCACCGTCGCCGATTATTTTGGCGGAGCACCCGCCAACTTCAGCGCAGGCATGCTGCACCGCAAGATCTGGGTCAAGCGGCCCAGTGCCTCGGCCACGCTGGTGCAGATTCGCGAAGACGACCTGGTTGACGATGTCCGCGACATGATTCTCAAAAAGTACGCCAACTCGCTCGGCAGGAGCTTCGACTCGCCCGACGTGACGCTGCGCATCGTGCCGCGCGATGCTCAGCGGGCTGGAGAGCGCACGCTGGGCCCCGAGGAAGACATGTGCCGCACCCTCGATGCCTACTTCCCCGGCGGCCAGACCGTCCACGAGGCCCTTATCATCGACGTGCCGCAACGGCGGACCCCCAAGCCCTCACCACGCGTGCCCTTCTACTACGCCCACCACGAGGACGGCACCCATGCCCAGACCGAGTACTTTCCGCCCATGCCCGTCATCGCCCCTTCTCCAAATGCCTCGGGCCAGGAGCGCGAGGCCCGCATCCCCCTGCCCCATGCGCCTCACTCGATAGCTGTCCTCAACACCGGGCACCTGCCTACACTCCCTTCGCCCGGCGCCACCAGACGAGGGCCGCATACTCACCGACCAAAGGTCTTTAGAACACACACGGCCTCTCCGACCACCCTCGGCGGCGGCATTCCCTCTTCAGCGACATCCGTCCGCCCTCAACAAGGCCGTCCACGCCACGACTCCTCTGCGTCCGAAGCCAAGAACTCTGCTGCCTCGAACAACCCGATACCCACCCCACCCGCTTCTGCCGAACCTCCATCACACTCACAAACTCTCCATGAATCTACTCCACCCACCCCGCGTATATCCTCACCTCAACCGAACCCAAAGAAGAAGCGGAGAAAGCCACCGGTGGAGCCACCAAGTCTGCCAGCTGGCCTTCTGGATGGCTCAGTCCCGCCTATCAATGTCCTGATTGTAGAAGACAACATCATCAACTTGCGAGTTTTGGGTGCCTTCATGCAGCGTTTGAAGGTTCGGTGGCAGCGTGCCATGAACGGAAAAGAGGCAGTAACCAAGTGGAAGGCAGGTGGTTTCCATTTGGTGCTTATGGACATTCAGCTGCCCGTCATGAACGGTCTGGAGGCAACAAAGGAGATCAGGCGGCTGGAGCGTGTCAACAGCATCGGTGTCTTCAGCAGTGGCAGCAGCGAGGCCCCTAACAATAGGCTTGGATCAGAGGGCAAAGAGCAAAACGAGCTGGTCGAGGATGATCGTCTTGGTGACAAGGGCATGTTCAAGAGCCCCGTCATTATTGTCGCACTCACAGCCAGTTCGCTGCAAAGCGACAGACATGAGGCTCTGGCGGCTGGTTGTAACGACTTCTTGACCAAGGTAAGAATTCATGTTGTATATGGAAGCACTCCCACTAACTCACGTCACAGCCTGTCAACTTCGTCTGGCTCGAGCGCAAGGTCAAAGAATGGGGTTGCATGCAAGCCTTGATTGACTTTGACGGATGGCGCAAGTGGAAAGACTTTGCCGACAAGTCTGAGAACAACGACACCACATCGAAGCTCTCCGGCGGCTATTCGAGCATTGCTCCGAACAAAAAGTCGAGCAGCACCCTGAGCCCGACTACCGCCGCTAATCCAGAAGCAAATGGTGTGAAGAGAGATGGAGATGTAGAGAGAAAGAACAAACGCAAAAGTCTAAGTGTCATACCACAGCAACCCATACTACAAGAGGAGGCCGAGACACCGCCAGCTGAGGTTGACAGTGGAGACAACTGAGCTTTTCGATCTACGAATCCTCTCACGCTACCAATCACCAAAATTCACTCGGTTGTAAATTGTCACAACACCACTTCCAAGGCCCTCTACGTTTTCCAAAGGCCCCAATTTTCATTTGTCCAATCACTCATCGTCTTTTTGTCTTCAGCGTTTGGTCACCTTGTTTCTGCCCGTCTGCCGGTCATCTGGGCATCTTCTGTATGCAATCTGCTTCTAGGTCTAGTGCGGGGAGATTGGAGTCTCACCTTACACATACATGATTTGAACGCTTGTTTGAGGAGAGCGTTTGTTTGACATCGCATTGGGAGGATGCTTAGAGACCCCTGTTACAATACAGAGAACCTGTTGGTTTTAATGTTAATTCTGCGGAACCGTTTCCGGGCTTCCATGAACGATCTTTCCAGTGTATCATCTGTGCATAATTTTGGAGTTTCACCTACGTCACTCTGTCAAGCGCATAATGAATGGCTCCTGACAAGTCGTACTCAGGAGAAGCTTTGCGCCGGGTCTTCTTTGTTGCCAGGGAAACGGCTCGCTTAGACTTTCCGTCGTTGACCCCTCCAAACCCTGGCACTTCCAAACTGGAGCCCCAACTTATCGTCAACCAAACTACACCACTCGCTCAGGCTCTCGAACATGCCTGCAAAAGTTGTATACGGAAAGAAGAGGAATGGAGAGCGGGCGGCATTTACAAAATTCCTGTCTCCCGAGAAAGAGGCTGCCCACAGAGAAGTCGAGGACAAAAATGTGACTAGCGGCACAGCACGTGATCGGCGGCGGCCAACACAACCAGAAAGAGACGATATCTCGGTGTTGGAGCAGGGATTGGGGAAACTACGGATAGAGCAGACACAGCCTACGGAAGATGAGAGTACCTCACGGAAACGATCACAATCACGGAAAGCGAAACCTGAGCGCATTGAGGTTACTACGAAAGAGAATGTTGTCCCATTTGAGGATGTGTTGGAACAAGACATGCAAGCTCTATCAATCAAGGCTCTGAAGGAGGACGAGTCCAAGCTACTCAAGGAACCACGTAAACCCCGAAAGGTACTAAGCGACCGCAACATCAACGCCATGAACAATGCCCACGAACTAGACCGATCAGCCCTGAAACCGAAGAAAGAGAAGAAACGTGTGGTGCCTATTGCGGTGGCCCAAGACGTTGTTGCCACACCTATAATAACTCCAGTACAGATAGATCCAGTTCGTTCAAAACAAGCGTCGATACAACGAGCAACATGCTTACCTACGCCTGAGCCGACACCTGAGCCTGAAGATGTCTACACCTCTTATGCTTCCCCGCTGTTGGCGCTCAGCGATAGAAAGAAGGTCATAGGGTTTCAGGAGTGGTCAGACGAG